ATGGAATACTATGTAGCATGCAGGAGCAGTAACTTTGTAAATTATTACCTAACTTGGGAGGTAATGGAGAGCATTATGCTGAGTGAACTACCTCAGTCCCACAAGGATAAATATCATATAAAACCATTATTGTAGAATGAGTATAAGGATTCAGGAAGGGTGGGAGAGGCTGGAAGCAGAGGGATGTGGATAGTATATTTTAATGTCTGGTAAATTAAGATTCCCCTAATAGCTTTCCTTTTCTTAATTTTTGTTGGCTGTTTTTACATGTTTACTTTTATATATGAAGTTCCGTATCTTATAAAGATTCTCGGTTATATTTCTCTTTGGATTGTGTTAAATTTCTAATTTGTGATTTTTTTTATTTGTTCATTTCTTCTTTTGCTTTTTTAAGGAGTATTTTACATATTTTCTCATCTAACTGTTTCACATTCTTATTAAATGTATTCCTAAGTATTTTTGTTGTTATTGTGAGATTTTCTCTAATATGTCTTATACCTGGTCATGTTTTGTGTGTCTGAAGGCTGTTGATATCTGAGGACTACTTTTATGTTCGCTATACTTTGAACTATTATTTGACTTAGTTTTGTGATTAATTCTCTAGTGCTTTCCTGGTACATGATCATTTCATCTGCAAATACAGATAACCTTTGCACTTCTTTTTAGTTGATACATTTATTTTCTTTTAATCTAATTGCATTTGACTAATACTTCAAATACAATATTGAGTAGTAGTGGACATATAGTAGGGATCTTTTGTTTTTATTGTTGTTTTGCTGAGTTTTTTTTAAGTGAGGAAGCCTGTTTCCCTATTTAGTATTCAGTGAAGAGTCTGATTAGATAGCTTTATTTATAAATTTTTTATATATTTTTTTAATGTTAATAAACTATCAACTTTTGTTTTGCTAGTTTTTAAAATCTGTAATTGATGTTATTTAAGGTTTTCTTAGCATTTATGAAGATACTTGTGTGCTTTTTCTCCTTATGTTGGGTCTTATTTTTTAATGAGTTTTCTAATGTTGAACCAACCTTGCATTTCTGGAATAATCCATACTTGATTATTATGTGTTATTTTCTTAATGTGACACAGGATTATGTTTGTTAATATTTACTTATAATTTTGCATCGGTCTGCAGATATGCTGTAGTCTTTAATTTTCTTGACATTTTGTACTATCATTACCGAGATTAGGTAGAAATGTTGTTGTTGTTGTTGTTGTTGTTAGGTGCCATCGAGTCAAGTACAACTCATAGCATCCCTGTGAATAAAAAATCTAAAACCAATCCTGTTCTGTGCCATCCTCACATTTCCTGACACACAAGAGCCCATTGTAGCAGTCACCTTGTCAACCCACCTGGTTGAGGGTCTTCCTCTCCTTCACCAACCCTCCACCTTTCCCAACATCATGTCCCTCTCCAAGGAATAGCACCTCCTAGCAATATGTCCAAAGTATGTTAGGTGAAGCCTCATCATTCTTGTCTCCAAAGAGCACTCTGGCTGCCCCCTCTCCAAGACATAGCTGTTCATTATCTTGGCTGTCCATGGAATGTTCAGTGCTCTTCAAGCCCACAGCACAAAGACATCAGTTCTTTTTCTGTCATCCTTATTCATTATCCAGGTCTTGGATGCATAACTAGTAATCGGAAAGCCCATGGCCTGAATCACATGTACCTTAGTCCTCAAACTGACAATTAACACCTTTAATAAATGTTATACTTGAAGATGAATTGTGTTTAAAATGAAATTTTATTTGCCACACTTCTCACCAACTTTGGTAATTTGTAGGGATGACTTATGATTTGTAGTGCATATTTTAGATTATTTCTTAATGGCTTAATAATATTTTCCCCTCCCTCTTAAGTAAGCATGAAATAAAGATTATTAAAAACATTTTTTATACTACACGCAAGATAAGAAAGCTGATGACATATTTTTTCTTACCTCATAATTATAAGATCTTAGTAGGTTATTTTTTTTAATTGTTTTTGATTACATAGTTGTTGTTATGTGCCATCAAGTCACTTGCGACTCATAGCGACTCTATGTACAATAGTCCTAAACTCTGCTCTGTCCTGTGCCAATCACACTATCTCTAATACACCTATTCCGATTATCCCAGTCACTGAATCAGTCCACCTCACAGAGGGCCTTCTGCTCCTGCGCTGTCCTTCCACCCTCCCAAGCATGATGTCCCTCTCTAAGGACCGGTCTCTCCTCACAACATGTCCAAAGTATGTTAGACGGAGCCTCAGAACCCTTGCCTCCAGGGAGCCGCCTGGTTTAACACTCTCCAGGATGAATGTTTGTTTTCTTGGCAGTCCAGGGTACATTCAATACTCTTCTCCAGCACCACAGCTCAAAGGTTCCTTTTATCCTCATTGTCCAGCTCTCTGATGCATAGCAAGTGATTGCAAAGACCATGGCCTGTATCAGGCACACCTTCGTCTCCAGACTGACGTCATTGCACTTCAGTACTTTTCTTCAGAACCATGTGAAATAAGGCAGCTTCCCTAACATTAGAGCTTTATATTTGGACTTATAGGCCCCTAAATTCAAGGGACACTGATCATAGCATAAGAAATGGACAGCATCTTGAAGAATTTGGAATCACAGAAACCCACAGAGCTTGAGATATAAGCTATCAGATCAAGGGGTGTATAGCAGGAGATGGTGTTGAAGGGAGTAGATATGAGTAGAAGGAATATTGGAATTACCATCTATAGATTGTTTAATATCATTATTAATTTTAATGTGTTTGTATCTAGCATATTTTCCCTCTCTGTAGTGCTGTCTGTCTTAAGTGTATAGAGTTTGAATCAATTCCTATTGGATAAGAAGTTAACTTACAGGATTTTATTTTAGTCAGTTCCCTGTAAAGACTGGCTGGGCTTATTTCTGAAAAGGGTTATTAGACTCTATATAAACATTGTGATACCCTCTCATAAAATATTTTCATATCATTGTTGTTTATTTTTTAACTGTTCGGGGTTTTTTTATTTATTATTTTAATGAAAGTTTACAGAGAATTTGGATTTCCAGTCATTCATTGTCACGTAGTTTCCTCCCTGTCCACCCTCTCCCATTCGTTTTTCTCTTTGAAAAGAAGAAGAAAAAAAAAGATCTTTCTTTAGTATATCATTGTTTTTACGAGAGTAGTAATATATTGATTTGGAAAGAATCCTATACTCAAGCATGTAACTTCTTTTAAGTAACATCACCAGAAAGAGAATTAAGAGTCAGTCAAGGCTATTGGAGGAAAAGTGGAATTGATGGCATAAAAGTATATTGGGAAGTTTTTGGATGTGCATGGAATTTAATTCTTAGAAGGTCCCATTCATCTGTTTTATCCTCTCCTTGCTGTAGATTTTCCAGGATGCTTGGAAGACTATTTATGTTGTGAATTAGGACTTCTAGAGTTCTTCTAAGCTTTTCTTTAATGAAGTTTATAGTCGTTGGTTTTAGTTCTAGGTCCGTAATCCACTTTGAATTGTTTTTTGTGTATGGAGTGAGGTGTGGATCTTGCTTGAGTTTCCTGCAGATAGTTTTCTGATTTTGCTAGTACCATTTGTTAAAAAGGCTGTTGTTTCCCCACTTAACTGATTTCATCTCCTTGTGAGAAATCAGTTGGTCATAGGTAGATGGGCTGTTTTCTGGGTTCTCAATTCTATTCCATTGATATATGTGTCTGTCACCACACTGAGTGAAATATCTCAGCCACAAAAGGACAAATATTGCATAGGGCAGTTGTAAAACGGGACTGACATCAAGGTTGAAGGAAGACAGAAAAGGAGGGGAGGAATGATGTATATTGAAACAGATAAGGGAGAGAATTGTTTAAAAGGGACATATGAATGGGTATTTTTATAATTTCAGAAGTCCAGAGTGAAGGCTGCGTAGTGGAGTGGACTTGGGGGGGAGGGATTGCATAACAATGAAAGTTTTTCTTTTTCTTTTCAAGGAGAAGAGTGAATTTGGGGGGATGGAGAAAAGTGCAATAATGAATGACTGGAAACCCTAAGTCTCTGTAAACTTACATTAAAATTAATGAAAAAAGTTTGGGGGAAAAATATATAAACTGGGGGGGGGGAGTATATTGAAATACCAAACAAAAGAATGTCAAAGGTGCAATAAAACTTTAAATGTACACCTGTGAATTTCAAGACAAAAGGAGAATGTAGTGGATTAAGGTGGCTAGGCAAGGCACAACATGTGCTCAAAGCAGGTGGATGGGAAACCTTAAGAGTTTGTACTTGACTTTTGCAAAAACAGTATAGCTGTTTTATAATGGAAAAAAATGCAGAAAGGATTACATGGCATCATTGTATACCTTTTGGAAGAACCTAAAAGGCCTCTGATTAGGAACTGGTAGGGGATGTGATTCAGGGAATAAAGGTTTTCAGAGATAGTGAATCACGCAGGAGAAGATTGCCCATCTTTGTCCCACAGAACAGCTGTTAGATTGGAACTGTGTGCCTTTGAAGTTATAGCACAGCTTATTACCACTGGGACACTAGTGCTCCTACTACTAAGTAAGGTGTGTCCTTGAAGCTCATATGATATATCTTATATGATTTACAGACACATACACCTTTTTCAAATTTAAATTTCTAATTTGAGTTCTTTTGACTTCATAAAATCCTTTTAATCTCAACATTAGAGGTGCAAAGTATACACTTGTAATTCATTACTCTGTAGAGTTAATTTTTCTGTTTTGAAGTGTTATTCAGTCACTTGCTATTACAGACTTATCTTTTTCTGTTCTGTTTTTGACTAATGGATAAGAAGAGAACTGGAGGCTCAGTGCAGTGGGAGAAATTTAACCAATGATACAGATTTTCATTTCTCATTCCAAAACATTAATGATTATGTTGAATGTTGCTCAGTGGGCTGAGTAAATAATTAAGCAGGTTATTTTGCTAATAATCTAGCTTATTTTTTAAAATAATAAAAACATAAAACAATTGATTTCCTGTTTTAATGTTCCTGTTTTATTCTTTTAGCTCTTATCTTCATTGTCAGTGGGCATCTGTAGAAGATCTGGAAAAGGATAAGAGAATTCAGCAAAAGATTAAGCGATTTAAGGCAAAGCAGGGCCAGAACAAATTCCTTTCGGAGGTATGCAGTATCTGGTTAATTTTTTATAGTATTTACATATTAAAATACATTTTAAGTTTTTTTCAATACATTATTAAGAAAAACTAGTTTGCCTCATTTGATGCTACTTCTTGTATTATTGTAACTGGTTATTGGTAAAAAATGTGTTAAACAGGAAATTTCTCGCTCTTCCTGTTTCTTGGTCTCTTAAGATATTGGTCTTAAGTTCTTGTGAAGAAATGATGATGACAGTGTGATTAAAACCTTACAATGAAAATGCAGGTTTTACAACAATGAAAAAAGCAGGTAGAGATTAGCTCTACTGATGTCTAGCACTTTAAAAACTGTTCATTAAATATTCAATTCAAGTTTGACAATAAAAGCTTCCAAAGAGAAGGCATATGACAAAATGATTTTGAATCAATGCCTGGTTGTGGAACACTCACTAAACTCAAGTTTCACAGATAATAAACATAATGTTAATGTAGAAGCTGGTGTGATATCCCTGCCTGGGTGCTTTAATTATTAATTATTATGTCAGGAATATCATACTTGAAGAATTAATAGATTTTCTCTACTTCTCCTCCCACCGAAATCAATTAGATTTTTAAAAGAAAGTTTTCACAAACGGCTTACTAGGTCTCTGGCTCCTGGGCCCTAAACTGATTTCACATGTAGTTTCTAGTAAATAAATGAAAAATCTTCATATAGAAATATTAGATTCTGATTTATTAGTTGCTCTCTTCTTAAAAGAGTTTTAAAAAAAAGTGGTAACTGTGGCATTTGATTAAAAATAATATCTAAATAATAGCTGTTTAACCCTGTCTGTCTTTGAAGTTGGACAAGCAGGGCAGAATAAAGCCAGAGTAATCTCAGATAACATGTTTTTGCTGTGGATTCTGATTTCCAGGAGCCTTACTGGCAGTTGTAAAGTTACTAATAGATGCTCTTTCATTAGGTTTGCCTTGTAACCTAATCTGAGAATTAAGGCATTTGGGGATTGGTCTTTGGGGGGTTTTGTTTGTTTGTGTTTTAAGGTTATGGTCAGGGAAGGAAGTAGTTACCACTGAGAGGGAATGGAATTATTAAAATATAACTCACTTCTTAAATTTTGGCAAATTTTAAGATTTTTTTTTTTAAATGCTGTTTTAAGCAAAATACTATATAGTTCTTTTTTTTACCCCTCCACTGCTTGTTAATGAAACTAGAGTTTAATATCAGTGACCCTGGACACATTGAAATCATGAAATTCATCTTAGGAAAGGTTGGTTCTGCCAACCTTTCGTGTGTGTCAGTGGCTAGGAAATGGAGGGATACCCTCAAGGGTCATTTTTTTGCCATTCTAAAATTGTGGTCTCGTTTATTACGTTCCCACGGACTCTGTCTCCTCAAAGGTGCTTGGGGAGTTGTCCCTGATCCTGACTATATAGTCTTATCTACTGAATCTACTTGTCACTTACACCATGGTTGGAATACACTTCTTACTGGTAATTTGAAAACCAGCAGTCCACTTCTATCCTGAACAAAAGTATCTCAAACTTCTAAAGAAAGATAATCCATGCATGGGTTAGCAAGACCAGAAGGTTACTGGTACTTTTCCTCCTCTTTTATTCATACACTTATATGTGACTGTAGGTGATTCTAACATCAGGCACTCCATGATTCCATTACTTTGGGATTTTGATAGCTTTTACATTCTGTTTCAAGTTTCTTTGTAAATCCACTGCTATAAAAATACCTGTTCAAAGATCATTTTGACTAGAAATTTTATCATTTGCATGGTGGCATAAATTACTTATTCAGGGATTAGAAGTGTTTAAAAGGTAAAGATTTTCATTCCATATTTAATTCTAAAATTTACATTTAAGAACAAATTAAAGGAAGCTCTTACTATCAAAACCAAAACGCTTACAGAAAATTTTAGTATTTATGCTGTGTGTGAATAATGCATATATATCATGTACCTAAATCTAGACATTTTTATAAAGGCTATGACTTCATGATATTAAAGCCACACCCTCTAGCAGACCTTCAACCTTGGTCAAAGGCTCAAGGGCCACCCACTTTTGGGGAGAAAAACAGAACAGGAACACACAACAAATACAACCCCAGAAACTTCCCTTACATGACCACTATCAAGAGGAGACCACCATCAAGATGCCAGCTAGCAGCCAACTCCTAGACTGGAGGGAGACTCCAAGGCCCCAGGCTGGCCCAAGCACTCTTTTCCAACATTACAATTAAAGTGATTGATTCTTTTCCTAATGTAGTCCAAATCTAGTCCTCATAATGAAAGGAACTCCAACAAGCATAGTTTGGCATCAAAAATGAATTCATTTTCTCTCTCTCTCTGTACACACACACACACACACACACACACTCACTCACACTCTCTCTCTTTCTCTCTCTCACACGCTCACTCTCACTCTCACATACAAACTCCCACACCAAACTCTTGGACTCTGGAAAATAATTATATGTGACTAACAACAACAACAATGTCTGCAGCCCTCAGAACTGGTTTTAATTGTTTTGGGTCATACATTCTTCTAAGTGGCATAGCACTGGTCTGTCCATTTGCTGTACAGAGGTAACTTGTGGTTGCTGTGATGCTGAACACTGTGACACTGATGTGTCAAATGAGATAATGATTTCCCATTGTGGACAATGTTTGGTGGAGCTCTCTGATTAAAACAACCTTTGAAGCAGGAGTGACATCCACTTCCGAAACAGCTTGCCTCCAGAAATGCTATGAAATTGGTGAAACAATGAAAGTTATACAAGTGTTCAGGTCTTTCATTCATAGGGTCACTATGAGTCATCTATGACTCGATGGCACTTAACAACATGCCTTCATGTGTTAATATTTTAAATTGCCTGAGTATTTCAGTGAATTTTTTTTTTCTTACTAATCTCCTTTGTGTGAAAGCCTGAAGCAGTTGAAACACATTTTTATGTTTCTGCTTTTTGTTTCTTCACAGTTAAAAGCCTCCAAATCAGGCAGCTTATTTGGGCACTATAGGCCAGAAAATGTTTTATCGTGAGCTGTGTGACTGAAAAGCCTATCTTTTCAACTGGAGTTCAAATGCTAACAATAGTGTTTAAGTGGCTTGTAATATGTTTTTCAAAGTATTTTAATAATTATATTCTGTATAAATGAATCAGAGATATTTATTAATATATCCTTTGTTATAGAACACTTGCAAACATAACTGAACCCTTCTTCTTAAAAGTTTTATTTCATCTATAACTTGCCTTTGAGCCATATTCAATTCTTTCAAAGTAAATAACTTTCCAACCAAGCAGTATTGTTGTTGTTATGTGCCGTCGAGTCGCCTGCGACTCATAGCAACCCTATGTACAACAGCCCTAAACTCCACTCTGTCCTGTGCCAATCGCACTGTCTCTGACACTCCCATCCCAATTATCCCAGTCACTGAATCAGTCCACCTCATAGAGGGCCTTTACTTCACTTTTTGTGAAAAAGTTTGCTGACATATTGGCTAAGTAATGTAATTCTTTAAACTTCATTTCTTTATTCTTTTTTTTTTATTTCTTTATTCTTAATACTTTCATTCAGATATTCTGTGTTCAATACAAAGAAATCAGTAGAATTATTTAGATTAGCAGCAAGGTTATTATTCTAAACAAGATACTAACAGATTAGTTGGCCAAGATGTCCAAACATTTATAAACAGTTGACCCTCCTTAAGTAGGAAATCTGCTGTTATCAGTGATCTTAGCCTTTGAATAACAATCTGGAAACGATAATGTAAAACATTGGACATCTCCAGTGCTTAGCAGACCCTGGTAGCTCTTAGTGTGTTCAGCTTTGATTTCTTATAGCAAGCTTCAGTTTTGAGAATGCTAAATGCATTGCATGCCATAAGCCTTTTGGATTGCTCATTAGTGAATTGTAATTTCACACTTCATTTAAAATATTCTTAAACATTCTCTCACAGTAAAAGGTTTCACACAGTAATTAAAAGAACCAGTTAACAAAGTCTGAAAAGTCTGATTTCCTCATGGGGAATGATTTTGCTAAATTGTAGCATTTCAATTAATATATTAGAATTTGCCAAATATAAATTTTAGGTTGCTGTGGCCCAAAATATTATTGCCTAGTGAAAAGTGAAATAACATTTACTCTCTAGAAAGAAATAGGCATTTTAACTCTTTCCCCTCTCATTTTGGTGCAGATTGAGGATGAGCTTTTTAACCCAGATTATGTGGAGGTGGACCGGATAATGGACTTTGCACGCAGCACAGATGACCGCGGAGAGGTAACTGAGAATCACTTATATTAGGAGAGAAGGTTTAAAAAGTAAATTAGTATTAAGGTTGCATAGTGGAGTGCATTCGGGGCGGGGGTGGAGGGAGTGCGGATTGTATACCAACAAATAAGTTTATCTTTTGCTTTTCGAAGAGAGGAGCAAACTGGGGGGAGAAGGGTCATGTAGAGAAAAAAGTACAGCAGTGAATGGATGGAAATCCAAAATCTCTGTAAATGTTCATTAAAATTAATAAAATAATTTTTTTTTTAAAAAAGTAAATTAGTGGAGAGTTTTTTATAGCTTTGTAGCCACATGTAAACTGGGTTTAGGGAAAATGTTGTTATAAGTAACTACAAGGATATGTTTATTTAAAAATAATACCTTTATGCTGAAACATTGTAAGAAAGTTTTACGTGGTATGGCCTGAATTTGCTCATACCTGCGTGATACCTCCATTGAGTTTTGACTTTCTGCTAACACCTGACAACCTTCACATTTAATTTGAGGGGTTTAACAAGATACTATGTAATTTCACAATACCATCAGTATGTTTTAATATATATCAACTGTTTAGCACCAATTTCCCTTCATTATGAAATGCTATTATAACATACGGAATTTAATATTATTTAACATTGTCCACTTAGTGAAGCTGATCAACTAAGTTTAATGTTGGTGCAAGAAGTTAATATGAAATACTTCTCTTTATGAGATTCCAGTCTTGAAATTCCAATGTTACCTTGCAAAACCTTGTGAAGTTGTAACGGATATTGATAGCTCAGGTGGAGTGGCTTCCTGAGCATTGTACGTTGCCTGCTATGAGTTCTGTCATTTGACTGCTTGATGTAAATATAATTTGACATACAAAGTGTTTGGCTGTGGAGAGCCTGTCTGGCACCTCTAGTGAGAGTCTACAAAGAACTCATCTCTTACCTTAAGAAACAGATGTTCCCAAGACCATATCTGTAAAATGATACTTAATCTTCTAGTTTTGCTTAGTTACATGTAAAATTATTTGCTTCATGGCTTATGTATAACATATAGCATATGTTTTTAACATTATTATCAGAAAATCAGAGTACCCTCATGCTGAATGGAATGTCATTAGGCCGGAGTGTTCTTTAGGAGACAAAAGAAGTCCCACTGACCCAAGATAATCTTCCCTCATTCTACTAGAGCTCAAATATATTATTTCAGAGTAATTAAAAGTAAAAGGTATCTTTATCTGGAGGTAGGAGAGAAGGCAGAGATAATAAATTTAAGATTATTTCTTATTCTTTAAGAAACTATCTGCTTACAGTGATATATAAATATACTAAAGTAATTCACCATGTAAGTTTGAATCAGACCCTTGATATGTGATTACCTATGTAGAAGGCTTGAATTAATCTCTAATTGTGTACCTGCAAATTCTTTGATTTGTGATTATGACTTGGAGCCAACGTTTAGTGGTCAAAATTGAAAATCTTGTACCAACTCAATCATAACTGTTGCTGGATAAATGAAGTCGATAGTATGTTTTCCCTGAAGATCCTTTTCTTTGGTACAATGACCCCCTTCTGATCTCTGCCCCGGGCCAGCCTGTGACCCACTACCTGGTCAAGTGGTGCTCACTTCCCTATGAAGACAGCACATGGGAACTGAGGCAGGACATAGACCAGACCAAGATTGAAGAATTTGAAAAACTCATGTCCAGGGAGCCAGAAACAGACCGTGTGGTAAGAATTGGCCCATGATGGAAAATTTCATTTGAAAAGATTATAATGGTATAGTCTTTAAGAAACCACTAATGGGATTTACTATATTTTAAACAGGAGCGACCTCCTGCTGATGATTGGAAGAAATCAGAGAGTTCCAGGGAGTACAAAAACAATAACAAACTCAGGGAATACCAGTTGGAGGGAGTAAACTGGCTACTTTTCAATTGGTACAACATGTATGTAAAACTATTTTTCCCCATGTCAATTTAAAAACTATCTATAGCTCTTTTTAATTAAGAGTCTGTAAAGTTTATAAACCATAAGAATGAAAATATACTTAGTTTTTATTCACCAAGTAGTAATATAGAAATTGATAGAATTAATACAGAAATAATTCCTCTTTCTTAGAATTTTATTTGCAAATATCTTTATTGACTCTACATCATTTTTACAGTTGGGGGTGTGTGTGTGTGTGAAAGAGAGAGAGAGAAGACAGCAGTGTCTAATATCTATACTCACTCAATTTTATTTTATTTTCTTCCCAAAGGCGAAACTGCATTTTAGCAGATGAAATGGGTTTGGGGAAAACTATCCAGTCCATTACATTTCTCTATGAGATATATTTGAAAGGAATCCATGGCCCTTTTTTAGTAATTGCCCCATTGTCCACAATTCCCAACTGGGAAAGGGAGTTTCGTACCTGGACAGAGTTGAATGTGGTTGTGTATCATGGGAGTCAAGCTAGTCGTCGGACCATTCATTTGTATGAAATGTACTTCAAAGATCCACAGGTAAGATACCACAATTGTGATTTCTTTTGCATATTATGTTTTGTTTTTTTTTAAAGCAAGTTAAATGGTCTCAGGAACTTGGGTAAAAGGGCAAGACTATGCCAAATTGGGAAACTTGCTTGAAATTTTTTCTCCAGTTTTTGTTGCATTTATGTTATGCTTCTACATTTTACCAATATATAATCCTTATTTATATAGCTGTGGTCCTTCTGAATGAAATTTTTGTCTTAAATGACCACAGAAATCCATTATATGTTTTTTTTTAAATTGAGATTTCAATCAAAGTCCACAGAGAATTTGGATTTCCATTCATTCATTGTTGCACACCCTCCTGCCTGCCCCCCTCTTCCCCCCAGTTCACCTTTCTCTTTGGGGGAGGGGGGAACCACTTTGATTCATGTTTTTGATGTGCTAAATTTTTTGTTTCGTAAGTCTGACTCAAACCAAACTCTGCCAACAACTTTGCTTTGACACCTAATGTCAAATCCAGGAGATTTTCAAGGCTGTAATCTGTATGGGATGAAATTGCTTGTCTGTATCCCTCAGAACAGCTGGTGGATTTAAACTCCTTACCTTTTGGTTAGCGGTATAACATGTAATATACTACGTCACCAAAGCTCCTTAGTTTCATTAAGTAAAATTACTGTGAAGATTAAAAAATAATTTTATTCTTTTCAGTTTAACATTCATTAAGACAAACGGGGGAGGGGAATAGGAATCATTGTGCCCCTAAGAGAAAGCTAAATTTAAAAAACTGTGTTACTGTGTGTGCACATAAGGGATATTTGATTTTAATATTGTATTATAATGTTACTAGACATGAAAAGGGAGCTCTGGTGGCCTAATGGGTAAAGTGCAGTGTTGCCAACCCAAAGGCAGGTGATTCACATTTACTAGGTAGATCAGAGAAAGGTGAGTAATCTCCTGTGTGAGTAATAGCCTCTAAAAACCCACTGGAGGGCCAGTTATGAGTCAGTTCTAACTCAGTGAGTTTGAGTTTTTTATGAAGTGAAAAATGTTAGGTATTGTAAAATGTCATTGAAATATGTGACACACTGAATGAAATACGTTCAGAGGGAGGAAATTATACTTCGGCTCAATTATACCAATTGCTGTAATTTTTTTCTAGTTACTTATATACAATTATTGGGTCTGTGATATTGACAGTGAAGCATTATAAATGACATGATAAAGAAGGAGGCATAATATTTCATTGGAATAATTTTAAACTCATAGTAAATGCAACTCTTATAATTGGAATGAAGAAAGTTTATTTTGTACTTCTGTTTTAAGTGTAACAAATGAGCTATAATTATATAAGTAAAAGTGAAAAAGGGTTGAAATTTCGTACTGCATTTTAACTTTCGGAAACTATCGTAAGTTCTATCTTAAATGATTTTTTTAAAGGAACTTTGCAGATATTTTTTTAAAAGTTTTGAAGATTTTTAAAAGTTTTGGAAATAAGTTTTTAAAATACAAACTGTGAAAGTTGAATTTGTCTTGGTCTTTCACCTGCTGGAGACAATAGCAGGATCTCCTGTGGGTGTTCTTGTCACAGAACTGCATATAACATGTAAGTTAGTTGGCTAATTCGTTTTTAACTTTGTTTTTAAAAAGAGGAGGTTTTCTTTAAACTCTTGTGTTGTACATTAACAATGTAAAACCTTCAAAATACCTTGTAAACAGAATGGTTTACCTAAAATAGTTTCCCCAAAGGAGAAATACGTATGTTTTATGCTCATTTATTTTCCTTTAAGATTATTAATGTAGTCTCTGATGCTTAATAATAATTCAGAGCTGTTCTTGTAGGGTCGAGTGATAAAGGGGTCCTATAAGTTTCATGCCATCATCACTACATTTGAGATGATTCTGACTGATTGTCCTGAGCTGAGGAATATTCCATGGCGTTGTGTGGTCATTGATGAAGCCCACAGGCTGAAGAATCGGAACTGCAAGCTGCTGGAGGGACTCAAGATGATGGACTTGGTCAGTGGTCATGTTTGTGATTCTGTTGAATCTAAATAGAATTATTACTAACTAGAGATTCTTTTCTGTTCTGAATTTGATGCCTGTGAGGGATGCTTACAAAGCCTCTCAAATATTGGGTTTGTCTTCTCAGACTTAGCTGCTTAAGAGGGCCAGTTCTCTTGCCTTATTTGTGAATTCTTACCTTATTTTCTGATGTCTTCCCAACACTTGAATACAGAAAGTATAGTCAGTCTTATTTTCACTCACATGAGTCTCAGCTTTATGTTTAGATTTCCCCTTTATGATTAAATCCAGCCATTTTAGAAGTTGTTCAGCTCATAGGTGATCTAGTTGTGTTTCATAGATAGGAATGTTAGATACAAGTTCTTAGAAAGTTTTTAAGGATAGTATAATACTTGATAATATTTTTAAGCCAAAGGCACATCTGTTTGTTGTGGTGGTTGAGCTTGGAGGTAGAAAGCTCTCCATCCTAATTCCCTTTCATGATGTTTGTGTGGTACTGTTTGCATTAATCATATAGTATTTGCTCTTTACCCACATTGAATCTTGTTTTATTCAATTGGTTATATTCAGCTATGTAAAAGATATTTATGGGCAACGACTAAATGTAGTGGAGTAGTAAGCAGCCCAATAAAAAGAACTGCTTTGCCCCCAAATGTTTATTTTTAAATTAATAAAGCATTAAACAACTTTTTCCTGAGGTATTTGAGTTTTAGTATTTAAACATAACACAGAGATGTTATTAGGTGCCATCAAGTTAAGTACAGCTTATATATACTGTGCCATCCTCACCAACTTGGGCGTACTTCCTCTCTTTCACTGACCCCTCTATCTTTCTAAGAATAATGTGCTTTAAGGACCAACCTATAGTATGTGAGGCAAAGCTTTATTTGCCTCCAAAGTTTTGACTTCACTTTCTCGAAGACATATTTGTTAATTCTTTGGCAGTCCATTGTCTAGCTCCCAGATAAAAGTGATTGAAAAGAGTATGGCCTGAATCAGGTGCACCTTAAGATATTGTTGCTCCTCAGTAATTTGGAAAGTTCTCTGTCTGCTGACTTTCCTAATGAAGTGTGTCTCCTGTTCACCAAGTGTGTTCATTGTAGATCCCAGTAAGATGAAATTGTTGCCAATTTCAGCCTTTTCTCTATCTGTCATGATGTTACCATTCAGTCCAGTGGTTAAGATTTTTGTTTTCTTGATGTTGAGCTATAGCCCATATTGAAGACTATAATCCCTGATCTGCAACCAGGGTTTCAGATCCTTTCCACTTCCAGCAAGCAAGGTTTTGTCATCCACCTAACTCAGGTTGATGAATCTTTCTGCAATTCTAGGTTTTCAAAGAGTCCAGATTCTTAAATGATTTAGCAAATTGAATACATATGAAGAGAGGATACAACCTGATACACACCTTTCCTGATTTTAAACCATTCAGTGTTCAATTGCTCTGTTCACTCAACAGCCTTTTGGTCTAGGTATAGGTTTCACATGAGCACACTTAAGTGCCCTGTGATTCTCATTCTTGTCAGTGTTAGCCATACTTTCCTATGATCCACAGAGTCAAATGCCATTATAGTCAATAAAGCATAAATAGATATTCTTCTGGTATTCTCTGCTTTCATCCAGGAACTGTTTTTACATCAGTATGATATCTGGTGCTATGACCTCTTCTCATTCCAGCACTTTACTTCTGACAGTTCTCTGTTAATGTTCACAATAAAAGCTAAAGCCAAAACGGAGGAGATTTAAAGTTTTTACAAAATTTTGCCGTCTGAGATTGACCAAACGTGTATTAGAGATGTGTTAATATAATTGGTGACTGGAATGAAAAAATTGGAAACAATGAAGAAGAAATGACAGCTGGTGATAGAAATGAGGCCAGAAATTGAATGACTGCATTTTGTATGCTCAATGATTTATTCACGACAAATATAATTTTTTAAAAACACAAAAGTTGACTTTATACATGGACCTGATCTGATGAACTGCATAGGAGTCAGTTGACTGCATCTGTGAAAGCTATCTTTGTAGAAGCTCAGTGTTGGCTAGCGTCCAAAACCACCATCAGTTACTCATGTGCAAATTGAGGCTGAAGAAAATGAAATCCATAAGAACCAAAATATTGGTTTTGAATCTATCATACTTGAACTTAAAAAAAGCATATTAAGAATAGGTTTGAGGTGTTGACGGCCAAATGAGTGTGGGATGACCACAAGGATTTCATCCTTGAAGAGAACAGAAAAGTCATTACAAAGACAAAAAATAAAAATGGATGTCAGAAGAGCCTGTGAAAATTGCACTAGTGTCTAGAAGCCAAAACAAAGAGAAGAGATGCTGAAGTAAAAGAGCTGAACAGAAGATTTCAAAAGGCAGCTCTGTAAGACAAAGCATAGTATTATTAAGGAGTGTTCAAAATGCTGGAGTCAGAGAATATGAAGGGGAAAACTCGATTGGCATTTCCCAAGCTAAAAAAAACACACAAACAAACCTGAAAAACAAGTTTAAACCTGGAGTTGCAATACTTAGAGATGTTGTTGTTGTTATGTGCCGTCAACTCATAGCGACCCTATGCACAGCAGCCCTAAACCCTGCTCTATCCTGTGCCAATCTCATTGCCTCTGACACACCTATCCTGATTACCCCAGTCACGGAATCAATCCACCTCATAGAGGGTCTTCCCCTCCTGCACTGTCCCTCTACTCTACCCAGCATGATGTCCCTCTCTAAAGACCTGTCTCTCCTTACAACATGTCCAAAGTATGTCAGACGAAGCCCCAGAATCCTTGCCTCCAAGGAGCAGCCTGGTTTAACCCTCTCTACGATGAATCTCTTTGTTTTCTTGGCAGTCCATGGTACATTCAATACTCTTCTCCAGCACCACAGCTCAAAGGCGTCAGTTCTCCTTCTATCTTCCCTAGTCATTGTCTAACTCTCTGTTGCATAACAAGTGATTGCAAAAACCATGGCCTGTATCGGGTGCACCTTAGTCTCCAGAGAGACACCGTTGCTCTTGAGTACTTTAGAGAGGTCCCTAACTGCAGACTTTCCCATCGCAATACGTTTTTTGATTTCCTGGTTACTGGTGCCAAGAGTGTTGACCGTGGAGCCGTGGAGCCGTGCAAACTGAAGCTGTGAACAATCTCAATCTCTTCGCCATCCATCCTGATGCTACCGATTGGTCCAGTGGTGAGAATTTTTGTCTTCTTGACATTGAGCCTCAGTCCATATTGAAGGCCGCAGTCCTTGACCCTCTGCAGTAAGTGTGTGAGGTCCTCCTCAGTTTCAGCGAGCAGGGTTGTGTCATCTGCATAACGCAGATTGTTGATAGATCGTCCACCAATCCTAACGCCACGCTTCTCCTCATAGAGCCCAACCTCTTGGATAATCTGCTCTGCATACAGGTTGAAAAGGCATGGAGATAGGACACATTCCTGGCGTACACCCTTCCTTGCCCTGTTCTGACGACTGCCTCTTGGTCCAAGTATAGGTTTCGCATTAGCATGATTAAACGTTCTGGGATTCCTTGAATGATCCAGGAAGTGTTAAAGTGGATAGATAATGAATATGGTATTGGAATAGAAGAGAGGAAGAACTGTCTGAAAGGAATGTATGATTAGATATTATATGTGTGACAACAATCTGTAACAAGAGGTGCATTGCAAAGTGGACTGGGAGGGGAAAGGAGGAAAATGTATAACAATGAATGAATAAAAACCCAACCTTTCTGTGAAATTTTTTTATAACCACAATTGAAAAAAAAAAGGAGTACAGAGGGAATGGATAGTCATTATACCAGAAAGAATTGGCTGACATTGAAATATTTCAGGAAAAACTGTCTGATCAAGATCCAGTGGTCATGAAGGAAGAAGTTTAAGCTGTAATTCAGGCATTGGGGGGAAAAAACAAGGCCCTAGTAATTGGCAGGATACCAGTTCACATATTTCAAATAACATGTGTGGCCCTGCACAAGTTCACCAATCTGTTCTAGGACATTTGGAAGATAGCTACCTGTCTGACTCATTGGAAAAGATCCATATTTGTTCTCATTACCAGGAAAGGTAATCCAACAGAAAATGCATATTATTGAACAATATCATTAATGTCGTGTGCAAGCAAAAATATTATTAAAGATCATCCCAAAACATACAAATAAAAGGCTTAAAATTACTAGAAGAAAACTGTTATTATCAATGCAGTTCTTCCACTGAAATAACTTTATTGATATCTGTGGTGACATATAAATGAAAAAGTTTAAAAATAAAGTTAAGGAGTACTTAGTATGGAGTATTTATGACTTGTGTTGCCTGTACTTATAGTTACTCAATTAGAAAATCTTGACTTGGCTTCTAACCCACTGCTATTCCATTATTTCCAACTCTAAATCACTGTCTGTTGAGTTTCCAAGACACTAAATCTTTAGAAGAAGCTATCTTTCTCTCACAAGGCAGCTAGTGAATTTAAACTGTTGTTCTAATAGCTAAAAGTCCAGTATGTTAGGACACTGTACTACCAAGGCTCCTTAGAAAACTGCCTAGTCTATATGAATTTAATGAATCAAGGTATAGAAATGATTGACTGTTCCACCTCCCTTTCTGAGAGCTTTCTTGGCAAAATATTGGCAGAACAAAAAATAATCAGTATGTCCTCAGGTAGGCTATTTAGCTGGGATTTACACAGCCTATGCTTTCTTCCTGGCAACAAAGTGTTGTCAGATCCCAAGTTAAATATAGCATATTCCTTTTCAACCTACTCAAAAGCTTAATAATTTTCTGCAGTAGTTTTATTAGCTGTAGCTGCCAGCTATATTGTATACCAAATAGTCAAATTCGAGAATAATTAAAACACTGTTTAATGATTATAGTCATCATTGTTAAAACTAGTTGTAACAAAACAGAGCTCTTGTTAGATGTATATAAATGGAAGTGCAAAGAAGCACTTGCTTAAGAAACCCTGGAAAAGAGTTTGTAAACAGGAAAGAGTAAACCTAATTTGGTTCACAGAGAGAAAGTTAGAAATATCATCTGGTTATTAAAGGGAAGAAAAAGTGATTGTGGTATTTAAAACCAAGCTGACTTCTTTGAAAGCATGAAAATTTTGCAGAACAAAGTAGTTTTTCATATGTTATTGCATGTGGAAGAACATTTTTTTCTCAAGTGAATTGTGCAGGAAGCAGGTGGAGAGAGTACTGTTGCTTTAGCAAAAAGAAAGAAGGAAAGAGCTTTATCTGAGTCAAAAGGACTTTAAGAAAAAACCTAGAAACTTTAATAGGGAAAACCATTGCGATCTAAAAGATATGTATTAAAATATTAACCTAATAATCCCAGGAAGAAATAAAATAGCAAGACACATTTAAGGAATTCAAGAAGGGACACTGGTATTCAGTAGTAGAATTGTCACCTTCCTGGCAAAAGACCCAGGTTCAATTCCTGGTTGAGGGCCCTCATGTACAGTCATGACCTCAGTGTCAGCGGAGGCATTTGTACTGCTGTGATATTGAACAAGTTATAGAAAAGCTTATGAACTAAGATATACTAGGAAAAAGACCTGGCTATCTACCTCCAAAAATCAGCCAATGAAACCCTGTAGATCAAAATTACCTCATCTGTAACCAGTCATAGGGATGGTGCAGAACTAGACATCATTGTATTCTGTTGTATATGCAGTTTCTCCACTGGGAGTGAACTTAATATGAGCTAACACTGAAAGAACAGAGCCCTGTGGAGGATCCTCCCATAGATATATGTATCTGAAGTTTTCCTTAGGTCTCTAACCTCTGTGCCTCATTTCTATTCTTTGCCTAGGGTGAATGCTAAATTAACATTCCTGAATAAAGTGGGAAAGTGGGTATATGAAGAAAAACTTTTCATTTAAAGAGACATGTTGTGTGATGACTTCTTCATTTGCTTCCTTTGCTTTATTACAGGAACACAAAGTGCTGCTCACAGGGACCCCACTGCAGAACACAGTGGAAGAGCTCTTCAGCTTGCTTCATTTCTTGGAACCAAGTCGCTTCCCTTCAGAAACCACCTTTATGCAAGAATTTGGTGATCTGAAGACAGAAGAGCAGGTATATATCACAGCTGCCCTTTCCCGTGCCCCTCCCCTCAATACTGAAGGTTATGAAGATAACTCATGGAATGGTTGAACATTATTATAACTATTTTCAAATCTAAGTTACATGTCCATTCTCTCTCACCTTGTAAGATGGGCGTTTTGATAGCTTTTTCTTAGATATTTCAACTTACCATTAGGAAGATTTTTTTGTTTGTTTGGTGATCCTTTTGAAGGGCTGTTGAGATTGGTAGAGATTCTATAGCCTTTCACTTAATTTTCAGAGACACTACTTCTCAGGTTCCTGGCTCTGCTGTGTCCACTTCAGGGATAGTCTCAGTGGCATTGGACTGTTGTAAAACACTTTGTCACAGAGCATCAAGGCTATAGTTTAATTTCTAGACCATATATACTTGGTCACATGAGTCAGAATGAACCACCCTATTTTCATTTTCTAAACATGAGTCATAACTACCAGATAGGATCTCTACATGATGTAAGAGTGCTTGGTTATACACTGTATGAGTTACCTGGGTATTAGTTTTAATATTTAAAATAAATATGGAGATAGATACGAAATCTTGGTACCTTAGTTCATAATGAAATCTCCTTTGTTTTATTTTTATTTTCTAAAACTATTTGGTGGATGGGTTAGTTTCAAGAGAATGAGAACTCGGGTGAGATATCTCTGTTTATTTCTCAGTGCAGAGACCAGGAAATCTTAGGTCCATTCCCTCCTGTTCTGTCAGTTCTTTCTAGAAAGAAAGAGAGCTAAAATACAGTGCTCTTGTGATGTTTTTCTCTTCCTTCTTCCTCATCATCTTTTTGGCTGAAGATACACAGAAGGAAAAGCTGAATAGATAATTGAGTTATTTCTGCTTGTGTACTTTACAAACTTCTTGACTATTCAGGAACCAAATCCTGTGAAGGTGAAGTTGTCAATTTGAAACTTTTGTGTTCTTCTGTTTTGAAAGCTGAGAAATGAGCACCTTCATACCTTTACCTCCTACTAGTCTGTGAAAAATTAAAAGTAAATAAATAATATGATCTTTAGTTTCTAGGTTCGGATATGTTCTTAACGTGCAAATAAATTGTGATACCAGTATTTATTCAAGATCCTTTTTTAGGTGCAAAAGCTTCAGGCTATTCTAAAGCCAATGATGTTGAGACGTCTCAAGGAAGATGTAGAAAAGAACTTGGCCCCCAAAGAAGAGACTATTATTGAAGTTGAGCTAACAAACATACAGAAGAAATATTACCGAGCCATCCTTGAGAAGAATTTTACATTTCTTTCCAAAGGTGGTGGTCAAGCAAACGTACCTAATCTTTTAAACACTATGATGGAGTTACGAAAGTGCTGCAATCACCCATACCTTATTAATGGTAAGCCAGCCATCTTGTCACATGCTTGACTCTCAGAGCATCGGAAAGCCTTTTCCCCATGCTTTTTACTCATTACTAGTATTGCCAGTGCCTTTTCTAAATAATGCTTTTCCCTCTGGTTGACAAAAGCTGTTTACCTTTGCCCTTGTTGACCCCTGAAACTAGATCTCATCTTGCCTTTTTTCTACCTCCTAAAGTCCCACCACCTTGAAAAGAAGCTTTAATACTCTAGACTATAAATTATCCAAAGGATCAGCACATAAAGAAAATTCAGGTCTCAGTTGGAGCTTTCATGTATGTGCACATATTCAAGGGTATATGCTAATTTTGTGTGTGTGTGTGTTGTGTATTTGTTACGTAGAGAGGTTAATGAGGAACTTTGGTATGGGAATCGGATATCTCCAGCCTTTGAGAGGAGGACTTTTCCCAGCCCTAGATGCATTCCTTAATGTTTATTCCCCCAAGATGACAAAGTATTTTCAATTTTGATAATTTGTCTCTCTTCCTAATGATTCAATTGTAGTATCCCTATTTTCATAAGTAAACTCATAGTATTATATAACTGATATGGGTAGTAATCTCATATATTTGCAAACAGAGATTTTTTAAAAAAATTTGTTGCAAATAGATTTTTTTAAAAAATTAAAGAAATAAATCATTGTTACTTACTTGGGGAGGGACATCATGCTTAGGGTGGAGGGACAGTGCAGGAGGGGAAGGCCCTCTATGAGGTGGCTTGATTCAGTGACTGGGGTAATCGGGATGGGTGTATTGGAGATGAGTCTATCAGAGATGGTGCAATTGGCACAGGACAGAGCAGAGTTTAGGGCTGTTGTACATAGGGTCGCTATGAGTCACAAGCGACTCGACAGCACATAGCAACAATCCTGGAGTTGGCTCTGACATTTTCTTCCTGTTATATATGTGTAGGATATGGTTGAGAATTCAAAGATCAGTAAGAAGATATTTTCTCTGCAGCAAGCATACCTTAGTTTAAAACTTGAGACCAGTCATGAGACAATGCTGTTGTTAAGTGCTGTCAAGCTTGCTTCACATCCTAGTAATCGTGTGTATAGCAGAATGAAACCCTGGCTGGTCTAAGCCACCCTCAGAATCTCTGCTATGTATAATTCCATTGCTACAGTTCCATCTCCTTAAGGGTCTCCCTCTCCTTTGCTGACCCTTTGTTTTGATGTCCTGTGTATGATGGTCCTTCTGTCCTCTCCAAAATATGTGAGGAAGTATCTCACCATTCTTGCTCCTAAAGAGCACTCTGACAGTTTCTTCCAAGACAGATTTGGTTCTTTTGGCAGTCTGTAGTATGTGTAATATTCTTCAGAAGTTTATTAGTGGTTACCAGGGTTAGGAGGAAAGGGGAAAAGGAGTTATAGCTAGGTTTAGAGGGATTGAGTTTCTGTTGAAGATAATAGAAGACATTAAAATGAATATAGTAGTGATAGTTATAGTTATATAAGGCACATAATATAATGAAAAGTAGTAAAATGGTCCAATTTTTATTAGCTGTATGTTGTTGAGGGAGCTCTGGTGGCCTAGTCTGTAGGGAGTCGCGCTGCTCATCCAGCATACTGTTCGAGAGGTGTGAAGCCACTAACTGTTCCTCCTATGTAATTTATAGCCTCCGAAACCTGCCAGAGGGTCCGCTTTGAGTTGGTTATGACTTTATGACAATCAGTTTGGCGCAATCAAGTTGATTTCAACTCGTGGAAAACCCTGTAGGACTGAGTAAAACTATCTCAGAGGGTTTCTCTTAGCATGTAGTCTTTGTAAGTCTTCTTTGAAGATGCTGGTGGATTTAAACCGCTAACCTTTTTGTTAGCAGTCAAATGTTGAACCACTGCACCACCTGTTCCTTTTTATGTACAGGTAGTCTACTCCTTTTAAACCTCTGAATTTACAGCAATTCATTTTGCCTTTTAATGTTTTGTATATTTGCCTTCATTTTAAAAATGAAAAGAAAATAAAAACCCAACAAACTAATTTAGAAATAGAAAACTTAGAAGAAAAAAACAATGACATAAAGCACAAAATGTATAGGCACATTTTTGTGTAAACTTGTCATGGATTTTCATGATCTTCTCAAACTGTTTCTTTTGTTCATCAATTCCCCAAGATGAAAAACAGACACTTCCAAAAAGGTGTTCATCTGCCTTTTATATATCAGGTTTTTTTCATCTTTTAACCAGCTGCGTTGAGTCCTTCACTAATTGTCACCTTGGTTCAACAAACTGCATTGTGTGATCTACCGCCTCTTAAATTACCAGGGACATGTAGCACAGGAGTGAACTGCAAAGCCCCTAGAAACCAATACTGACTATGGCCTCACTTTGAAGCTGTGAACAAACTGCTACTGACAACAAATTTTGTATCACAATCACCTTTACTCACTGCACAAGCAGCTTTTAAATCATTGAAAAGGGTTCAAACATTTTCTTGAACTAAGGCTTACCTACCAATTTGAGTTAAAGAACTGACCTCATTTATTATAACCCAAGGACTGCCTCAATCACCACAATTAAAGACAGAAAGAGAAAAAGATGGTGTTTGAGATAAGCCGTCAGAAGCAGGAAGGATTTTTGCCAGGTAGGTTAGAAAAGAAACAGCATCTATGCTGAACTGATAACATGAGCAAAGAAAGGGAGGCAGAGAAGCAAAGAAGAACTTGTCCCTGGATAACGTAGAAAATAGTGAGAAAAGAAATCTCCCATGTGTTGGGCCTTAACAGTGGAAGGAAGGCCTTCAAATGCTGGTTAGGACTGAGACTTTCAAATTTAGGCCTTAGAGGTGGACAACCCATCTCTTAGTCTCTGCATGAGAAATACATAAAATTCAGGATGAGTAATCTGGAAGCACCCTACAGAAAGGATGGCAGTGGGGAAACAGGCTAGCCCAAGTATCAGATAGGCTACAGCTATAGTCAAGGCAAGACTTAATATAGATTAACAGGGGCAGCCAATGGCAATATGCTCAAGAGTCGTTGTAAGGTCATTAAGAATATCCACTATACCCCTCAGAGTTAAAGCTTTAGGTGTGTTGATAGTATGAGTGGAAGTATGTGTACATACAATCATAAGTGTGTACACATGTAATATCAGGGGAAAGTAAATAGTAGTAGCCTCCAAGGGGCACTTGGGAGCCAGGATTGAAACTGGGAGTCCCAGTTTCATGATGTTCACATTGTTGGGTTACATAATAATTACATACATTGAGCATTGTAGTATTTTCCCCCAAAACCCAGCTGGTGGATTCCCCCCCCCCTTCTTTTAATGATTATTCTCTAGGGTCAGCCTATAGCTCACTTGTTCCTTAACAGTCTCCTGGGACTCCTAGCAGCTTGGCACCTGTGACAGTCATTCTAATTTGTCACACCTGAGAATCAGCTTTTCTATCCTTAAAACATGTTATGAAGTATCTGGTAAGCAGGTATCTTTTAAAATATGCCTTTTGATTGGGAAGTTGTATATAAAAACCACACACAGTCACACATCAGCCCAAGACTGCCCCCGTGACTTCTGTAGGCTTGATATTCCACAGAGGTGGACTGTGGTTTCCTGGGTCCTTGCTGTCCAAGGCCATCAGTGATTGATGATGGAAGATGCACTGTGCAATGTCAGCTCGGCAGACACTCTTACACAGTTACAGGGAAATAATTACCTCTGGGGCTTGAAATTAGAATTTACATTGGTTATGACAGAGTAAAGTAGCCCCAATCAAAATTACAGTTTAATCCAACCAAACATGTTTCTGGAACTGTGAAAAAGGGCACAATTGTTTCCTAAGTTTAATATGACAGCATAAGCCCAGCAAAAGGGGGGGGGATCTAGATGTGATGACAGAGCACAAAGTGTATACAAACTGAAATGTTTGTAATTGGCATTAATTTTTCTACTGATTGCTTAGAACAAAGTCTGGCATATCATAAATGCTCAGTAAGTGTTAGAAGTTAACTTTTCTTGCTAAAAGTTAAGCAAGTGAATGGATTACAGAAATGAAGTATCTGTTACTGGCCCACACTTAATTTGAATGAGGTATCTGATTTCAGGTTCCTTAATATGAAGGTAAGAAGGATATTGGAAACCTCGTAAATACCCCTGATGATTAGATATCGATTAAGTCTTCTCATCATTATTGTTTGGAGTAAGGAGAATATATTTAAAAAAATGTGAAAAAGAAAAGAATGAAAAATTACATGATGTAGTGGTGTTAAGTTCATAAGAGATCATACAATTATTTTAAGTTGTCTGTGACACATCAACAGACACACACATCCTTCTTTGATGTCATCCTAACAGTATTTTACACAGAGCCAACACATCATTTTGTCTTCTTATAGCCTATTTCCAGATAATTGGGTTATAGTATCCAAAGGTAGAAATTGTGTTCCTCCCCAACGCTCCTTTAGCAGCTGCCCTTCAGCATAGCCACAATGAATACAGTGCATAGGGAGCTGTGGTAGCCTAGTGGGAAGAAGCTGTGCTGCAGTCCCAAAGGCACATGGTTCAAGGCTGTTGGCTGCTCCATGGGAGAAGGGTGTGCAGTCTCCTTCTGTGTGATTATCTGCCTCTGAAACCCACCAGACAGTCAACTATGGGTCAGTTCTGACTTGACAGTACACAACAAGAACAAGAGAATCATACAGGAAATATATTTCCTGGTAAAATTCTAAATGACATGTTATTAATGTAAAATGTTCCTTTAAGAATGTAAGTTCCTATCACAGAGCCAAATTGATTAAGCAGCAGCTGCTTTTGTCAGTTAAGAAAGAATGCATATAGCTTTTTTTGTTATTCTTTAAAAGATGATAAATTGCTGATTTGTTGTTGTTATGTGCCATCAAGTTGCTTGCGACTCATAGTGACCCTGTGTACAAGAGCTCTAAATGCTATTCTATCCTGTGCCAACCTAGCCATCTCAAACACACTTATTCCCACTGCTCCAGTCACAGGATTGATCCATCTCATCGAAGGTCTTCCTCTCCTTTGCCACCCCTCCACTCTGCCAAACATGATGTCCCTCTCCAAGGACCAGTCCCTCCTTGCAACATGCCCAAAGTATGTCAGACGAAGCTTCAGAATCTTTGACTCCAAGGAGCATTCCGGTTTCACCTTCTCCAGGACAAACCTGTTTGTTCTCCTAGCAGTCCATGGTATATTCAACATTCGTCTCCAGCACCACAGCTCAAAGGCATCAATTCTCTTTGTCATCCCTATTTACTGTCCAACTCTCTGAAGCGTAGCACGTAATTGTGAAGACTATATAGCCCGGGTCAGGCGCACCTTAGTCTCCAGTCTGATGTCGTTGCTCTTTGGTACTCTTGAGAGGTCCCTCACAGCTGACTTTCCCAATGCAATTTGCCTCTTGATTTCCTGGCTGCTGTTACCAAGAGTGTTGACTGTGGAGCCAAGTAAACTAAAACTGTTAACTATCTCAGTCTCTTCACAGAAAAATATTTTCCTCATCCCTCAAAAATATAACAACTTTATTAAAAGCAAATGTTAAAATAAAATTGAAACGGCTCTAATTTAACCAAAGGGAATTCTGGTGTCGTAGTCTGTAGGGACTCCATTACCTAAAGGCTGAGTGGTTCCGATCCACCAACGTCTCTGAGGGAGAGGAGATGAACAGCCTCCTTCCGTATGGGTCACAGCCTCAGAAGCCCAGTGCAGGGTCAGCTGTGGACAGTCAATGCTGCCTTGACAGCAATGAGAATTATTTGATGAAATTATCTTCTCAATTTTTGAAAATAATGTTTGCTTTTTATTTTGTTAAAATGATCTCATTTAAGAATATCTGCTCTCTGTGAGCTTATTGTTTAAGCTACTAAAATACTGTATTTCATCCTAATTGTGGAGTATAGTATTGATAAATGCTCAGCTATCCCCAAAAGAAAAACCTGTCTGTTATGGAATTACGAAGAGTTTAAACTTTTTTTTTTTTTAAAAAAAAAACAAACCAAAACACCTAGTTGGCTATGTTAAATCTGTATTCCTTATCCTTTAGGGATATTTTCATTATCATTATAGAAGCTCAATTTTTAAATTCCTTGTTTCTAAAAATAAAGCACTTTATTAAGTATATTCTTGCTAATGCTTTTACTTATATCCTTTACCTTTTCATATGGAACTTCTTTCTCTCTTTTTTCTTACACTTAAAGAAAAATTCAAAGTACATCCCTTTTATTACTGTAAAGAAGGGAGTGAGAGAATAATCTTCCACACTCGGTGACACTTTTTCACCAACCTTATAGTGGTGACCACATTAGAAGGCTTTACTTCCCTCTCAGGCAGATTCTTCGTGAGTAATAATTAACAGGCTGTATTTCTGCAATGACAATGCTGTAAGTGAATCTTCATAAGCAACCTTACAATGAAAAGAGAACTACACTTGGTTCCCAGTTCTATTTGTGTAGGAGCCCTCTGTAGCTACCATGGCCTGTCTCCCCTGTATTTCATCTGGAAGACATTCTTGTGGGTTAGGCATTCATTTTGTACACATGGGGTAGTTTACAGCTGCTAGGGGAAACAGTTTTAACACTGCATGCAAGGTTTAAGGCTGCGAGTAGACATTTGTGTGTTCTGAAGAATAGGTGGCTGCATCCCCTGGCCTCTGAGAGAAGAGCCGAGATGACCAGCTTTGTACCGATTACCTCGAGAGGGAAAGGCCGCCCCAGTGCTGCCTAATTCTAGTAAAGCCACCTCAACAGTTGAAGGAAGCTTAGGCTGCTGCTTCCTGAAATAGTGTGGGTTCTGGGTCAGGGAGGAAGTGGTCAGGGCTTTGCTCCCAGGGAGATGTCATTCTCTAAATTTTTCTCTGATGCACCGAGTCCCTGAACATGGGTTGTTTGCAAAAGAAGACTACTGGTGAAAGCGGTCCATGAATTGCTTAGAGAGGGTACTCTAAACCTTTGGAGAACTCAAGATAAAATTTCTTAACTGAGGAAATGAATATGGAGACAGAGTTGAGATGACAAGCAGAAATTATATACCTAAACCCTATTAGAAATCTCTCAGTTATTCCTACATAATTAATTGCTCTTTGTTTCATTCCTTTTGACCATATCAGTATGCAATTAAATATTCAGATACATGACCTTTCACTTTCATGGTCATTATTATTTGCTTATTTCTTAGTTTCAGAACAGATTTTGGTTGCTTGTGTTTATATTCAGTGAGCAGACACTTCATTTCTTTAACAATTCGGGCTCCAAATGTTCTGAAGGTATCTGGCCCTTGGCTCATTTCTGCACTTCTGGCTTAACAGTCTGTTGTTGAAATTCACTTTCTACAGCTAGCAAACATTTGTTTGTTGGAAAATGTGGTTTTCCCCCAACTGCTTGTGTGTTGTGCTTAAAACTTTGATCTCCTCTGTACGTTTTTGGTTTTGCATAGACTTAACTTCACATAACTGGAGGGTTCCTTATTCATGAACAACAAGGTAGTGTTCAGGTTCTACTGGCTTGCAGTGGGTGTGAAAGCAAGATCATTGTTTTTAGTAATAAAAACCTTTTACAGTATTCACGTTGTGCTGTCCAATCTCTGCAGGTGCTGAAGAGAAAATTTTGGAAGAGTTTAAAGAAACACACAATGCCGAGTCTCCAGATTTTCAGCTCCAGGCGATGATCCAGGCTGCTGGCAAGCTCGTGCTGATTGACAAGCTGCTGCCAAAACTGAAGGCTGGTGGCCACAGGGTGCTTATCTTTTCCCAGATGGTGCGCTGCTTGGACATACTGGAAGACTACCTCATTCAGAGACGGTGAGCACACCGTGTCATATGATAAAGAGGAAATTAAAAATGTTCTTTAGTGGGGCTCCACTTCAAAGTGACATTTATGAAGGGAAGATGGCATGGAGAAAATTTGTTATCTTTTTTCGTTAATTGTAGGTGCACACATTTGTTTTATATGATGCATACAGAAGGACACAGAACACGTCCAGTGGCTGCCTTTTCCCTTTTTCTTTGATTTGACTGGGAGAGAAGAAGGGAGCTCAGGTAGAGCAGTTGTAGAGAGTTTTGCTGGTAACCAAAGGCCACCACTTGTGCCATTTGGAATCCCATCAACCTCTCCACAGGAGAAGGATAGGCAGTCTCCTTCTCTGTGATTTCCTGTCTCTGAAAACTCACTGACTGAGGGGTCAGCTGTGAAATGGTTCACAATGAATTTTTTTATTGTTTTTTTGTTGTTAGTTTGGTTTGGGTTGGTTTTTTTTTGTTTGTTTGTCTTTTGGTTTTTTTGGGTTATTTTTTTACCTCATATTTCTTTTTTTTTTTTTTTAATTGGGAAAAACATATTGGGGGTACAAGGAGGTGAGGGTTGGGGGCAGAAGGGTGAGGATGGGCCAGGATGCAGTTGCAGAGCTGCACAGTTTGGCCGGTGGGGGGAGCAGGTGAAGGAAATGATGAGGGTCCAGTTGGGACCAGATGCTACAGAGGAATGACAAGCATTTTCTAATAGTAATTAAACCAACTGTCTTATTTATTTGGGAATTGGATGCCGACTCTCTGGCTTCTTCATGCTGAAAAGGGGCATAGATGTAAAGGGGAAAGGGAGGACGCTTGTATCACCTTACTGGTGGTCTTGGGTTAAAGCTGCTTGCCTTCTTGCTCTGTTAGAAGATATTTTCCTGTCATTTACTCCCCTCTGGACTGCAAAGTGTTTTCCCAGGTGGGTCAAGTGGGGATGGCTGGTTGAACCCAGAGGCTCCATCCTCCTTTGCTTCCTTAGCTGTCAGTTGTATTTCCTTTTTGTCACTGGCACTGGGTTCAGGGTCAATTCTGGAGTAAAACTCAGTGTTAAGGTTACCTATAGGAAAGGGAGCAAACCTAGAGAGAACAAACTTGTGAGTTACAAATAGAAGGGCTTTGAGGGTGTTGCATTCAAGTTTACTGAGGGCGAAGGTGACAGAAGTTGGCCTAGGTAACACTGGATACCCTAGGCATTCTTTTTTTTTTTCCTTCTTCCCCACCCAGGGGTCAGATGGCACAATCTGGGGACTGAGGAGCTCACCCTGAGGGCCGCGACAGCTCGCCCCAAGCCGAGGGCCGAGGGCAGCCCGCCCCGGACAGAGGGCCGCGACGGCTCGCCCCGAGCTGGGGACCGAGGGCAGCCCATCCCGAGCTGGGCAACACCCCCCAGGAGCTTCCCTCCAATTGCCCTACCCCAGTCTGGTCCCCTCGCCTGACTGAGGACTCTGTGGTCAGGGATAGTGTTTTCAATTCCGGCACTGCCACTTTTACCCCCCCATAAGTGGTCATACTATATTTTGAAGTAGGTGTCACTGCCCTCCCCCTTTATATATGATAAAGGGAACCTGAGAATTGTAAACAGACTCCCTCCAGGCCTAACCATCTTTTGACAGAAGCATGCAACAGAACAAAATATGTGGTGCATTTAGGATGTTGGTCCTCTTGTGCATGCTGCCACTGTTAAGGTCATCAGACTCACAGTGACTTTCAGCAATCCATTGCATAGGTAATCGTCTTCTTTGGCTTGTCCAATGCATAGGTAATCGTCTTCTTTGGCCAGTCCAAGGAAACCCAAACCTGCAGATGGCAGGCATGTATCCTATCCCCCACCTTCTACGCAGGTGGCCAGCGGGGTGTGCGCCCCCTCTCCCAGCACGGGAGGCCTGTGGGAGGTGCGGGCGGCCGTTGGGGGTGCGCCACCCCACCCTGCTGCACGGGTGCTCAGTGGGTGTGAAGCCCCTCTTGTGCGGGTGGCCCGCGGGTGCCCGCTTCCCCCACAGCTGCCATCCTGGCTCCAAGAATTCTCTCCAGACCAAGTCCTTCTTGCAGCAGTGTGGTGGCTTCACTGTACCAGTCTTGAGGAGGGCCATTGCCCAGCGCCCATCTGGGTGAGGGAATCCATTTGTTCCGGCTTTGGAAGCCACACGGGGCTGCAGCAGCTGTGCGGCCAGGCGTGGGTTCTGCAAGGGGAGGGGGGTTGGGAGCCACGAGACTTACCCATTTCTCCTTGGGAATCCTTGAATTCTGTTGTTGAGCCTTGATCTTCACTGAGGGCCAGTCATCAGCTGTTTAAGTCTTCAATTATCAATAAGCCGAAGTCTGTGGAAAGCCATAATGGCCCTGCTTTAAGTGGTTTGCTGCTCCAGCAGCTCACCACGCTGTCTGTGCTTCCGCCACCATCTTGGATCTCTGGTTTAGGGTTTTCTAAGGGGAGAAAATTCAAAATTTTTTGATTTGTCATTCTTAAAGTTGCCAGATATTTTTACAATTTAGATATTTTTCACTGGAGAGCAAGGTAAAATAAAATTTGACTTTTTGACAGTCAACTGAATATTAACTATGAATTGGCTATGAAAAATGACCACAAACCCTATATTTTCTAGGTACCCATATGAAAGAATCGATGGCCGAGTTCGAGGTAACCTGCGCCAGGCAGCTATTGACAGGTTCTCTAAGCCTGATTCTGATAGGTTTGTTTTCCTCCTGTGTACAAGAGCTGGAGGATTAGGCATTAACCTTACTGCTGCTGATACCTGCATCATCTTTGATTCAGACTGGAACCCCCAAAATGACCTCCAGGTAAACATGTAGGAAATTCTCACTGATGCCTTTATTTATTTCTTTGTAAATCATTTTGCTATGACAGAGACTACCCAGCCCAGCCGAGAAATTACACTTGTACCATCACTCAGTGCTGAGATTTGTGGTAAATGAACCAAATGGTGATTCATTTATTAATAATGTAAAATGTAATTTCCTGGTCTGTTAACACTTTCATAAACTACACCTCTGTTTATTGCAGTGGATGCTCCTGAGTCTGTTTGGCTTTTGTGTTTCTGTGGGGGTTTTTTTGTTTGTTTGTTTGTTTGTTTGTTTTGTTTTTTTAAACTTGATGGCTATTAAGTTCTTTTTCTTCCAGGCTCAAGCTAGATGTCATAGAATAGGACAAAGCAAATCTGTAAAAATCTACAGGCTGATTACAAGAAATTCTTATGAAAGAGAAATGTTTGATAAGGCTAGTTTGAAGCTTGGTCTCGATAAAGCTGTGCTACAGTCGATGAGTGGAAGAGAAAATGCTACCAATGGGGTAAAGCCCAGCCCCCCAGACCATTCATTCTCCCAATTCCATTTAGCTAATATTAAGGAATTAGTCAACATCCCATTATCTTTGACCTCAATACCCTAAGCACGTTTTATCCCATTTTTTTTTTTTTTATAGCTCAGCTTTCCTCTCTTTCAGATAAAGCTAGATTTGGGGAGGCTTGAGAGGGGGTGATTTTCCCAGCCTACAAACATATATGTTCTAAATAATTTGAATTATTTCCCTAAAACAGGTGCAACAGCTTTCCAAGAAGGAAATAGAGGATCTTCTCCGAAAGGGGGCCTATGGTGCACTCATGGATGAGGAGGATGAAGGGTCTAAGTTCTGTGAAGAAGATATCGATCAGATTCTCCTACGGCGAACTCACACTATTACTATTGAGTCAGAAGGGAAAGGGTCCACGTTTGCTAAGGTGCGAGTTTATCTGCAGGACCAGAGTTTAGATTTGGAGCTTGAATTTATGTGAACCCCAAGCTCACTGTCTCTAGTTGAACCTGAGCCACAGAGAGATCCGTAAGACAAAGAGTAGAGCCATCCCGTAGAGCCATCCCATAGCTTTCTCCCAACAAGTTTATGCAAAAGCGCCTAGTAAAGTGCTCCCATGCTATATACATGACCCTGGGAATGTAGGTGTTAATTACTCCCTGTGGAGCCCCTAGCACATGAATTTTTTTTTGTTGTTCTCTCCTGCTTACGTGGCATTGTGTAGTTGCCCTCGGCCTTCTGCCCTCTTATCTGCTTGAGCCTCCTGAATAAAGCTAATCCCTCACCTGCATGCTTGACCCTCACCCCCATCCTTCCTCCAAGATCACTCTGTGAGCCACTGACTCCACTTCCTCCTCCTCATTATCATCATTTCCTCCCAGAACCCTGATTCCTAAAACATCCTATAAGAATGACCAAGTCCCTTCAGCCTTTTAAGTGATCTGTTTTTCCTTCTAGCTCCAACCCCATAATTCTTCTTTCACAGCTAAAATCCACATATGCTTAATTGACACCAGCTGTCTCCACTGCCTGCTTTTCTGTTTGTTTTTCAACTTCAGCCTTAAGTGTCCCACCACCTCTCCCTCAGATCTGCTCTGACCAAGCTCACCACCTTGTGCTTCCATTTGAGAGCTTTTTGTAGCTTTACCTCTGTCACTTCCTGTGCTCACATCAAGGGCTACTCTATCTTTTAAAAAAAACACATACACCAAACTTTACTTACATGTAATTTATATACCATAAAATTGACTTATTTTGTTTTTATAATTTAGTGATTTTTTGGCATGTTTATGGAGTCAGCAACTGTCTCCATGATCTAGGTTTAAAATATTTCCATCACCCTGGAAAGATCCCTCATGCCCATTAGCAATCTCCTCTGAAACTTCTAACCCCTGTCCTTACCTTGTTGAGTGAGTGCTGTGGTGTCAACTTTAAATCGTGGTGACCCCATGTGACAGCAGAATTGCCCCATGGGATTTCCTGGGCTGTAGTCTTCACAGTAGCAGTATACCAGGGCTGTTCTCTTCCACAACAGCTGGTGGTTCCAGTCTTGACCTTTAATTAGCAGTAAGCATTTAACCATTGTACCACTAGGATGCTTTGCCCCTAGCCTTAGGCAACCACATTCTGCCTTCTTTCTTTATAGATTTGCTTGTTCTGTACATTTCATATCAGTAGAATCAGACAGTATGTGGTCTTTTATTTGGCATTGCTCATTTACCCACCAGCTTTAAGTCAATTCCAGTTCATAGTGACCCTGGAGGTCAAAGGAAGCTCTAGTGGATTAGTGATAAAGAGGCGTGCAGTTTGAATCCACCAGCTGTTCCAAGGGAGAAAGATGGGTAGTCTCCCCCTGTGTGATTTACTGTCTTGGAAAACTCTCCAGAGTGTTTGGTATTAGTGAGTCCTGACTTGATGGTACACAACAATAACAACAACTTTAGGATAGAGTAGAGCTACCCCATAGGGTTTCTACCATAAGGTTTCCAATAATGTGAATCTTTATAGAAGCAAATGGCTACCTCATTTTTTTCCAGCAGGGCAGCTAGTGAATTTGAATTGTTTACCTTTCAGTTATCACCTCAGTGCTTACTATTCTATACCACCAGCACTTTGAGATTCAACTCTGTTGGAGCATATTTTGATAATTCATTCCTTTTAATGGGCTGAATAATATACACATAGGCTGACTAATATATATATATATTCTCCTCATTATATATGAGGAGGTAGATACGTGGCATCAGGATTGGAGGAAGATTCATCAACAGTCTGCGTTATGTAGATGGCATAACCCTGCTTGCTGAAACTGAGGAGAACCTGAAGTGCTTGCTGCAGAAGATCAAGAACTGCAGCCTTCAACATCAAGAAAACAAAGATTGTCACCACTGGGCCAACTGGCAGCATCAGGATGGGTGGTGAAGAGATTGAGGTTGTTAGCAGCTTTAGTTTGCTTGGCTCCACAGTCAACACTCTTGGCACCAGCGGCCAGGAAATTAAAAGATGTTTTGCAGTGGGGAAGCGTGCTGTCAGAGACTTCTCCAAAGTACTGAAGAATAAAGATGTCAGTTTGGAAACTAAGGTGTGCACCTGATGACAGCTCATGGTCTTTGCAATCAAATGCTATCCATCAGAGAGTTGGACAGTGACTAAGGATGATGATAGAAGGAGAATTGATGCCTTTGAGCTGTGGTGCTGGAGAAGAGAATTGAGGGTACCATGCATGGACTGCTAAGAGAACAAACAGGATCATCCTAAAGAGGGTGAAACTTGGAGGCAAGGATTCTTAAGCTTCGTCTGACATACTTTGGGCATGTTGTAAGGAGAGACCAGTCCTTGGAGAGGGAAGTCATGATCGTCAGGGTGGAGGGACAGCGCAGGAGAAAAAGACCCTTGATGAACTGCATTGATTCAGTGAGTGGGGTAATGAGAGTTGGTGTGTCAGAGATAGTGAGATTGGCACAATATAGAGCAGGTTTTAGGCCAGTTGTAAATAGGGTCACTGTGAGTCACAAGCAACTCAATGGCACATAACAACATTTTTATATATGGGGTGGTGGTGGTGTGTACCGTAGAGTTGGAACTGACCCATAACTGACCCTCCAGAGGGTTTTCAGAGGCAGTTAATTGCACGGGAGGAAATTGCCCATTCTTCTCCCACAGAGCAGCTGGTGGCCTTGAACCTCTAGATAGAGATAAAATAATAATATAATACGTATATATGTATACACCTTATTTACTTACCACTCTCGCATATTTTGGGCACGTGGCCAGGAGGGACCAGTCCTTGGAGAGGGACATCATGCAGGAATGGTGGGATTGACTCAGTGACTGGAGCAATGGGATTAGGTCTGTCAGAGACAATGAGACTGGCTCAGGATAGGGCAGGTTTCAGACCTAGTGTACTTAGGGTCGCTATGAGTTCCAGGCAACTCAATAATACATAATAACAACAATGAACATTTGTGTTATATGTACTATTTTTTAATTATGAATAGTGATACCATAAGCATTTGTATTGGGGGGTTTTGTTGTTGTTGCTGGGGGAGGAAAGAGAAAACAGGTTTCCTTTTTTATGACAAGAATGGAATTGTTGGATCATGTATAACATCCTGTTTAACTTCATTAAGATCCACTAGGCAATTTCCAATGGCTATATCATTTTCCAGTAGCAATGAATAAGGAAGGGGTTCAATTTATTTTTAATCCTTGCCAATACTTTTTTATTATCTATACTAATGATAATATTACATTGATAATTTATAATAGATGATTGGTAAGAAACTGTACTGCAATTCTGAAGGCACACAGTTTGAATCCACCAGCAGTTCCATGGGAGACGGGTGAGAAATCTCCTGTGTGTTTAACTGCTTCTGAAAACCCAGTGGAGGTTCAGCTATGGATTGGCTCTGGCTCAATGGTGCTCAGTAACAACACCACCATCACAATTTTGGTCATAGCCTTTCTAGTGTGTGTAAAGGGAGCTCTGGGGACATAGTCTGAAGGGAGTTATATTGTTAATCAAAAGGCTGCATCTTGTTAGCAGCTCAAATTTCCCTGTGGCTCCCCAGGAGGAGGATGGGCAGTCTCCTTCTGTGTGATGTACAGCCTTGTAAGTTAGTGGAACGTGAACTGTGAATCAGATTTGATTCGACAGCAATGAGAGAGAGGTGAGAAAGGCGCTCTGATGGTGCTTTAAGACATCTGGCTACTAGCCGAGAGATGAGGCTGTCTGCTTCAGTAAAGTTTACAGCTTTAAAAATCCTGGGGTAGCTCTACTCCATCCTGTGTGTGGTGATGTTTTGGAATCAACTTGATGGCCATGGGTTCGGCTGTTTGGATTTAGCAGATGTGAAATGATATTCCAGTCCGATTTTGATTGGCATCTCTCTGGTAACTGATGGGATGAGTATCTGTTCATTTACTTGTTGGCCATTTATATTTTATCACTGGAGCTGTGTCTATTCAAATAGTATTTTTTTTTAAATTGACATTTTGTTTCTGAGTTTTAAAATTCTTTATTTTGGATATAAGTTTCTTAACAATTGATATAATTTCCATTTATTTTCTCACAGTCTTTCATTCTTGTTAATTGTTAGGTGCCAAAAAGTCTCCTTTGATTCACAGCAACTGTTAAGAACAGCAGATCTGAATTTTGCCCTATCATTTACCACCCTGATGATTTATGATGTGCTCATGGCCTTGTTACCGTTACTGTGTCAACCCATCATGCACATTGACAGGTCCACAAGTGTTCTTGCAAAGAGCACTGTACATCCCATGGATAGCCAAAAGAACAAACAAATGTGTCTCAGGAAGGGGAAGCAAGAATGATGAGGCTTCACCTCACATCCTTTGGGCATGTTGCTAGGAAGTGCTATTCCTTAGAGAAGGACATGATGCTGGGAAGGGTGGGGGGTCGGCGAAGGAGAGGAGAAGCCTCAACCAGGTGGACTGACGTGGTGACTGCTGCAGTGGGCTCTAGTTAGTGTGAGGATGGTGCAGGTTGGAACAGGATTCAGATCCATGGTTCATAGAGTCACTATGAGTCATCCTCGACTCATCAGCACCTTGTGACGTTTAATATAATGGTGTTTAATTGTGACAAAATTAGATTTCCTTTCCCTTTTGTCACTTATGCTTATGGTATTTTAGCTAAGAAATCAGAACCTAACCCACAGCCATACTGATTTATTCCTGCTTTCTCTTAAGGGTCATTTAAATTTTGCTCTGACATTTAACTCTGTAATCCACTTTTTGTTAAAGTTTGTGTGTGGTGCAAAGACCCAGCAGGCCCAGTCCCTGCACTCTTGGGAGGCCCTGCTTTGTGCTCCTTGACCTAATATCTCCCCTTCTCCCCAGCTTCTCTTCACGTTCTATACCCATTCTTCTCTGGCACTTCCATTTCAGTCTGCACAGAGGTGAACTCAGCCATGCTGCATTGCCACATTCCTCACACACCTGTTTGTTCACTCCAGTAACAGCATCCTGTGGCCGAAGTTGAACACTGAGGCTTCCCCTGGAACCTTCTCTTCTATGCTCTGCATCCATTGAGATCGAACTCTATTTATTTTACCTTTTGGAAATAATCTTTCTATGCTATCTCCTTGTCTCCTTTCCCCCATTTCTGCTCTTGGCTAGTTTTACTTTGGTAATTTCTCAGCAAAACTACTAGAGTTTACTTTTTCATGCTTTGAGCTCCATGCCCTAGTCTGCGCTTTCTAGCCTAACTCTTCTTTAGGATCACATGCCCTATGAGATTATGCCTTCAAAGAGGGCCCTGCTGCCTCAGGATAGAGTTCAGACTCTACTGATGAGGTGCACCAGGCTCATCTTGGTTGATTCCAGGCACTCTTTGTGTGTTTCTTAGACTGGCCTCCAGGAGCTTTTCCACTCCTTTGTGCCTGTGGCTGTACTCTTTCCTCTGCTGTGACCACTTCTAGAGACATTTCTGCCCTATGAACTTTTAAAAATCAGCTTGAGGAATTATATCCCTGAGCTTGCTTTCTCAGTTACGCCTTCCCTACACACATCCTCTGTCTAAACTGGGTTAGGGGTCCCTCATCTGTGTACCATGTCTACTTGTGCATGCCTTTAGTCTCTTTGTTACGTAGTGTTGTAATCCTTTATCTCCTCCTCTCTCAGCCTGTTGTCCTTAGGGAGAATCTTTGTCACATCTACCAAAGCAATAGACACACCATGAAGAACTGACTAGCATTTGTTTGGCTAAATAGTGAAAGCTGGTTTGCATCTTGCCCCTGAGAATAGCACTTCAGCATAATGCATATTTTATTTCCTTTTAGGCTAGCTTTGTTGCATCTGGAAATAGAACAGATATTTCCTTGGATGATCCAAATTTTTGGCAGAAGTGGGCAAAGAAGGCTGAATTGGATATCGACGCCCTAAATGGGAGAGTGAGTGAAAGACTTCATTCAGACTTGTATCTGATGTCATCCAAAGGTCGCTTCTTCAGATGTTTCAATTTATTCATTTTCTTTTTAGAACAACTTAGTTATTGACACGCCTAGAGTGAGAAAGCAGACTAGACTCTACAGTGCAGTAAAGGAAGATGAACTGATGGAATTTTCAGACTTGGAAAGTGATTCTGAAGAAAAGCCTTGTACCAAGCCCCGGCGCCCCCAGGATAAGTCTCAGGGTTATGCCAGGAGTGAGTGCTTCAGAGTGGAAAAGAATCTGCTTGTTTATGGGTAAGTTGGACCTGCTGTGAAAAAGTACTTTTCATTTTAAAAATGTTAACAATTCTCAGTACAGAAAAGGTTTGGTTTGGTTACTTTGATTTAAGTAACTCCCCATAATGCAATCAAGCTAGAGCAGAAATGTTGATGAGGCAAAGGCTAAAGTCACTCAAAGTCATTCAATTCCTCCTGGACTTGAGGAGGTTTCCTGGAGGTAGAGGCATTGATTTGTAATTTAAGCAATTATATCAGATCTAAAGTTAGCCTAATTTTAAATTCAAGAAAGAACTCTCAAAATTAAAAAAATTATCAAATTTGTCTTTTTCTGCTTTGTTTGTATAAACTTTGACTATGTTGTTGTGGTGGTATTGTAGAGTCAGAACCAACCCATAGCTGACATTCCAGCAGGTTTTCAGAGGCAGTTACTTGTTCAGGATTGCCCATCTTCTCCCATGGAGCAGCTTGTGGCCTCAAACTCTTTGCCTTCGGGATTGCAGCACAGCTTCTTGCCATTAGGCCACCAGAGCTCCTTTTACAACTATCATAATCTTACAATATTCTTCCAGTACAAAACTTTTTTTAAAGGCAATAATACCCTTCTCCCTCATCAGAAGCTCTCAGCTGAAGAGTCACTTGCACATTGTGATTGTTTTGTGTTTGTCCTGCTGGCTTCTGAGAGTCAGAAGCATTCCTGATTCGTCAGAACCTCATATTGTCCAGCCCAGCACTTTGAATAGCAAGGTGCTCAATAAACATTGATTTAGTCCCTTGAATATTCTGTAGTGGATTGTAGAACTTGAGGTAAAATTCCATTAAAGTGGAAAAGGTCATCATCATTTTGCCATCCAGTTAGTTCAAAAGTGGTTGTGCTGTGTCTTGGATGCTTTCTTCCAGGGATCACTACTAGTTTTAGAATAAATAGGACAACTTTCTGTTGGTGTAACACTGGCTCCCTTGGGTGGTCCTTGTTGGACCCTCCTCATGGGCAGCTAACTTTTGATTGGACAGATGCCTGCCTCCCTTCACTGTGCTAGGTGCTGTGTCACTGTCACAACCTCTACTGTCCCTGTGATGTACACAGACCACATTGGATGCCAAGCCAGTTAAGATGGCGCTGTAAGCAGGAGCTTAGGCCTTCCCTTGCAGTCACCACCCTGTCTTGGAATTCCTGGGTTGCAGACCTTTCCAGTTAGCATCTTCTTGGGAAAAGGATGCTATGACTTAGTACCCTTGTGGAGAGTGCAGTGCACCAACATGGCAAATGCTACGCAGATGACCATTTGAGACAGATGAGTTTAGATGAAGGCTATCCTGTATCCTGGCACTGAGGGCAGCTCTGCCCACCTTCTGTGTGAGCTGGACGGACACGCCTTCCCTTCCAGGCCCTGGCCTTCCTCACCTATGCCCTTTGCAGGAGGTCCCTACTTCCCATTTTCAACCTAATGATCAAGGTTATGTAGTTAACTTTAGAAGTGAAGTGTATCAATGACTCCTCAAGCTAAAAAATAATGTGGTGGTATGCCTGCGACTCATAGCAACCCTGTGTACAAGAGCCCTAAACCCTGCTCTATCCTGTGCCAAGCTCACTGCCTCCAACACACCACACCTACTCCCACTACCCCACTTACTGAATCAATCCATCTCATCGAGGGTCTTCCTCTCCTGTGCTATTCCTCCATGCTCCCAAATGTGATGTCCCTCTCCAAGGACTGGTCCCTCCTTAGAACATGCCCAGAGTATGTCAAATGAAGCCTCAGAATCCTTGCCTCTAAGGAGCAGCCCAGATTCACCCTCTTTCAGTAGTCTTTCCCTCTACCCTAGCTACCCATGGTGCTTCTCACTATTATTGTACTCCCACCATGTGATAGATGCTCTGCTAGAATCCATCCAGATACTAGGCATGTCATCATGCCATACAGTCATATCCAGTCCCACACTCAGCTGGCAGATGAACCAGTAGAAATGACAGTAAAGTGGGATAGGTGACATGACAGAGAATGGAGCGTAGAAGCATGTCCTGTCCTTTAAGATACAACTCTGATACACTCTCCCTACTTCTGAGATACCATTAGGAGAGATAGTCTGTGCATTGATGAGTGTCATCATTTAGCATTTAGCTGTGGGGAGGTGGGAGGGGAGTAAGGTCAAAGGCTTAGAGGGGAGAGCAAGCCTTGTGATTTGAGGAACTGAAAGGAGCTCACTGAAGCCAAAGAGCTGAGGTGTGGCAGGAGACCCACCTGGGTGGAGACAGGACTTCTCTCTGAATGAGAACTCAGCCCTCTGCTCATTACCATGTGCTCCCACCACGTTTGGCTCAGCACAGCCCGTGTGCCTCCTAACCCATCCTAAACCTTTCGTGTATGACCACCTTCCACATGACCGAGAGGAAACCAGGCCAAGGTGTGTTTAAATCTGTGAGGTTAGCAATAGGGAGATTGTGAGGGTTTCGTGGTGTGTTCTCCCCACTTCACACCAGGATTTGAGAGCTGGCTGAGCACTTTTCCTGTGACAGTGTGTGAGCCATCAATCCTGATCTGAGCAGGAAATCCTGCTTCTCATCATCCTCCATTAATTAGCATGGCAGCCCATGGAGGAAGATTGATGTATCCGTAATCCCCACCATTGCACCATTGATTCTGAAGTAGTTAGACCTTTCTTGTGTCATCTCTTTTCTACTACGACTTTTCAGCATCCACACACAAAGCCGTGATACAGTGGGACACACTGTTTAATCTCTGGCCCTTTGGGTCACTTTGCTGTCCTGAAAGTTGCTGCCACTGCCTTCGTCTTGCTTGGAAAGCCCTTGTTAAGCCCCATGTGTTATTAGTGCAGTAGTGAGCATGCTGGTGTGTTTAGGGGCAGTCACTCAACAGCCCACTCCCTGAGCACCATCCTGTCACTTCAACCTGCAGGCTTTTTTTTTTAAATTAGTATTCCCTCCCCTTCATTCATTGTTGTACATATTCCTCCCTACCCACCCCACCCCCAAGTTTGCTTTTCTCTTTGAAGAAAGAAAAAAATTCTTTCATTGTTATACAATTCCCACCTCACCCCTCAGTCCACTTTACAATGCAGCTCTTATTCTGGACTCTTGTCATGAAAATAATACTTAATCATATATTCCTTTTAAAGAGTCCTCTTATCTATTTCAATGAAATGTACATCATTTATCCCCTCTCTTCTTAATTCCCCCCACAACTCTGATGTCAGTCCTGTTTTATAACACTGGCATTATGCAGTATTTGTCCTTTGGTAACTGAGATATTTCGCTTAGCATAATGTTCTTCAGTGTCACCCATATACTATTTCATGAAGTCCTTGTTTTTCAGTGCTGCATAGTATTTCCTTGTGTTCTGCAAGCTTTGACCTGACATTTCCTAGCACCCACACCTGAGTTTAAATGCAAAGGCGCCACCTATATGCCAACTGTTTGCATTCCAGGTGGGGACGCTGGGCAGACATCCTTTCTCACGGGCGATACAAACGGCAGCTAAATGAGCAAGATGTGGAAACCATATGCAGGACCATCCTTGTGTACTGCCTCAATCACTACCGTGGAGACGAGAACATCAAAAGCTTCATCTGGGACCTCATCACACCAACCGCTGATGGCCAGACTCGGGCCTTGGTCAATCATTCTGGTAAGACTTTTATCCTCTGAGTGTCAGTGTCATCTAGAGTCCCCTGATGACCTTGGTGACAGACTGCTGGTGAAAACAAATGTCCTTCTGTGGTCCAAACAATTAATACTTAGCTGCTGGGGGGTTGAGTCAGCCCGGAAGCACCCCAGAAATCCCAAGAAGCCACTCAAAAAAATCAGTCACTGAAAACCTGTGGAGCAGTTTTTTGGCGTGTGTGGGGTTGGCTGGAATTCATGCTTTGTTTTGTTTTTCAGTATAGCCTGTGCTTCTTTGTCCCTTAAGTTAAAACAGCTAACTGTGGTGCTGTGATTTGAGTTGTCACAAGCTTTTGTTATCATCCTGAAAGGTTTATCTGCACCAGTGCCGCGGGGACGGAAGGGGAAGAAGGTGAAAGCACAGAGCACGCAGCCGGTAGTGCAGCATGCTGACTGGCTGGCCAGCTGCAACCCGGATGCGCTCTTCCAGGAGGACAGCTACAAGAAGCACCTGAAACACCACTGCAACAAGTGGGTTGGAGCGCCTCCCTCTCTTGGGCTTTTTTGATTTTGTTTTTGTTTTTTGTTGTTTGGGGTTTTGGGGTTTTTTTCTTTCTTTTTTTTTTTTTTTAAATGTAAGAAATTTCTGTTGGTAGGACCATTAGCAGCCTGAGGCTATAGTCTCTGCAGAGCCTGACTCTGTCTTGAAACATACCACCTTGCCTGGTAAGGGTGCACTGAGATGACAGGCGTCCATCAGTGTCTGTCACTTACATTCAGCCTTCTGAGCCCACTGTCCTGCAGCTGACTGGCTATAGGCATCGTGCTTGCTAGGTGCTTCCCTCACCCCTCTTTGAGCTTAGAATCCTTTTCTTATGTTGATTTCCAGGTACTCGTCATATGTATTGGAGAATATTGAATCTAAATTTATTTCATTGCTTTAGCATGATTAGGCAAAGCAGGATATAAATAAATAAATGTGTGTCAACATATGTTCAGGTAACGGCAGTGGAAAGATGAGCACATCACGTTCTTGTGGATCGTCTGTCTGAGGAAAGCCATATCATGTTATCCCCAGTTAACTGATAATGAAACTGAGGCTCAGGTTAAATAACGTAGGATCCCTCAGCTAGCTACGGCTCTGAGCTGGATCCAAACCTAGACCTGACCGATATAGAATCCTCTAACACTGGGCTCCCTCTCCTCCTCAGAGGTCTCCAGGGACTGCTGTGAGGTGGATGTGAGGAGACGTGGGAAGCACCTGGGTTTGCCGTGACTCATTTTCATCACATTTTTTAGCAGCCATGGTGCTTTTATAGCCTACATTTGATATACTTAGATTTCTGCTGTCAAATTTTTCATTTTCAAATATTCTAAACTGATTTTTGCACCTAAATACTGTGCTGCCTATTACTGCTATAATTTCATAGTTCTTTTTAAAATAATGCCCACTTCCAGGTACAGGAAAGCTTTTTTTCCTTGTGATTTATGTGAGTGTCGGGTCGATTCAGAAAGGCTTGGGATGAACTTCATGTGGAGTAGCCATTTGTGTCTTGGTTCAGTATGGAACAGTGGTCTTGTTCTGGAGTTGCGATGTGATAGTGGTGGCTCAAATTTCCATTTCTAATGGCATATCTCCTAGGGCACCACTCTGACTAATATGGGAGCTGTCATTAAAGTTGTTCCCATCTTCACACTTGATCATGAAGCCAATGAAAACCTTTCTCATGTCTGTGACAAAGTACACATGCTGACTCATCTTTCCTCACAGATCTCGCCTTAGCTTACCAGGATCCAATGTGAGAAAATCTCTAAGTTAAAATAGAAAATAGGACCTACGGTGAGGGATGTCTGCAAAAATAGCTGGCCAATATCCTCCCAGGTTCAAGATTGTAAGAGGCAGAAACAAGAAGATGGGGCATTTCAGGCACTGCACAGCCATGAGTTGGATCCTGAATAGAAATCAGTCACTAGTGAGATAGTGACCCTAACTGAATAAAGTTGTGTGTATACAAGGTTACATCTGTGTAACATGTAGTTTGTGAACTCCTTCACCCCGCGGGCATGCCGTTGCTCCTCTAGTGCCAGAGTTGCCCCAAGTAGTCCACAATCCCTGAATTTGCCTGTTGCATTGGTTTGAATTAAGCGAAAAGAAATATGATATTCATTGCATATCAAAGTCTTTACGTGAATAAATTTTTATGCACAGAAGTTTAGTTCCTGAACAGGAGGGGGGAAAAATACTAGAGTCACTGCCACTGGATCAGTTTTTGCTGTGAGCAGAAAGGTGGAGAGGATTTCCTTTGGAACTACCCTTCTTGCACAGCTCTCTTAGTTGACCTGGCCTCGAATGCTCTTTCTGGGTAGAGATGCAGTGAGGATACCACATTTGGGACTCTCACTTGGGCTTATATACTAACAAAATAAACCTAATACAGTCTAGTTCATTCCAAATTATAATGGCCATAAAGTGTCTTTGAATTACTATAAATGACAAAAGAGTTTAAAAATGTATGAAAAGGAACCAGAACTGCCACACAAGCAGATATATGCACACCGATGTTTATCGTGGCTTTGTTCACAATAGCAAAGAATTGGAAACAACCCAAGTGCCCATCAACAAACAGATAGTGAAGTTGTGGTATATTCACACAATGGAATGCTATGCTGCATTGAAAAACAACTCATGAAATATTATACAAAATGGGGGACCCTGAAGGACATTATGCTGAATGAAATGTCTCAGTTACAAAAGGACAAATACTGAATAATGCCACTGTTGTAAAGCGGACTGACATTGGAGTTGGGGAAGAACTAAGGGGATAAATAATGTATACTGCATTGAAACAGATGAGGGAGAGAACTATTTAAAAGGAATATAGGATTAGATATTTTCATGACAATATTACAGAAAAAGAAATGCATATTAAAGTGGACTGGGGAGGATTGTATAACAATGAAAGAATTTTTTTTTTCTTCAAAGAGAAAAATGAACTGGGGAGGGTTGGGCAGGGAGGAAAATGTGCAACAATGAGTGAATGGGGGGAAAATTAAATGAAAAAAATGTATGAAACAGGAGTTGTCTGAAGGGATTACTTAACCTTGGTGTATATGCAGTTTCCCTTCTCCCACATGGCCCATCTTAGGCCTATCTGGGCAGTTACTGTAGAGTGTCACCATAGGAAGGCGTGTTGCAAAAACCTACTCATGCACAGTCAAGAGTGGACTGCCTCTGGTTATCATTTTTGGTGACTTGAAGGGCATTTACCACATCATGTGTCTCCATGGTATGGACTCAGAAGAACTACATCTGAGTGTTCCATGTTCAGAGTGATTCTGTGATCTTGGTCAGACAGCTTCTCTCCTGACAGTCTTACTTTTCATGTTTATACAATGGAAATCCCAACTCGCCCCAGTTCCTTCGAGGGCTGTTGTGAGAACATATGAACATGTATTTGTAAAGCTGAAGCTTGGTTTAGAAAGTGGAATACAGTGCATGATTGAATTATTCAGCCAGGGGAGTAGCCATTAAGAGACCATGGAGGTCAGCATCACCCATCCACAGTAACCTCATCCAGCAGGGGACACTAGACTTGTAGTAGACATGGACCTTTGGGAGTTATCTGGTGTGTTTTGTTGAAAGACTTATGTTTGAACCATTAAGAAATTCCAGTACTATGCTGCATTGAAAAACAAGGAACTCATGCAATATTATTCAAAATGGGTGACCATGGAGGACATTATGCTGAGTGAGGTATCTCAGTCACAAAGGGACAAATGTTATATGGTGCCACTGTTGTAGAATGAGGCTGGCATTGGGGTGGGGGTAAGACTGAGAAAAACTGGATGAAATATGTTTACGGCATTGAAGTCTATGGGGGAGAGAATAGTCTAAAAGTATTATATTTTAGGGCATTATTTTTATCTTAGGAGTACGCAATGAGGGTTGCAGAGTGGATTATATTTGGGGGTAGGGGGTGGGGTTTGGGGAGGCGCGGTGGGGGGATTGTGTACCAATGAGGGAGTTTTTCTTTTGCTTTTCAAGGAGAGGAGCAAACGGGGGGGCGGGGGGTGTTTGTGCCGGGAGAAGGGTGCAACAATGATTGAATGGAATTCCAAAATCTCTGTAGATGTTCATTGAAATGAGAGATAAACAAACTAAATTAAATTAAAAAAAAAAAAAGAAATTCCAGGTGGGATTGAAAATCTGATTTCTAGAATCCCAAGAGGTTTTTGTTGTTAGGTTGGTTTTTTTGGTGGGTGTTTTTTTTAATTGTTTGGAAATATTTGAGAATTTAATAAATTGGACACATTTTACTCTCCTATATAATGTTCTGTTACTATTTTTTTTTTTTGTAAGCTGTAACAAGGGTACAGGTAATAGAAGTGAGAAAGATTAAAAATCCTTAATTCTTAAAGGGAAAGAGAGAGTTCACCTCTACTCCAGCCCCATCTTCCTTTCTGGGAAGCAAAGTTGTATAAACTGAAAAACCTGACATTCCATATTGAAGGTTTATTGTAAGGTAGTAAAACCAGATTTTATATCTCGTTTATTCCTACTACTTCTGATGTGCTTCCAAAAATGGTATTAAGGCAGCAGCTGAGGAAATTTTATGAGATAATGAAGCAGAACAGTTACTGAAAGCCATCTGCTCAGTTGTTTACAAACTTGCTTCAATACTTCAGAGGCAGTAGTAGGGTACGTGTCTAAACTTCACAAGCTGCACTAGGTAGAACTAAATGAAGTGTGCCTGGGCTGGGCTGAGCCTGGTCCCGCTCTGTGCAGTGTGAGCCGTTGCCAGGCAGGCCTGTTGGAAGCCAGCAGAAAGCACCACACAGAGGTGATTATGTGCCACCATCTGTCACGCTTCAAGCCTACCATACAGCATGGCTAATCAGCCTTGGCAGGATGATGGATGAACAGCAGCAGCTGCCAAAAGCCACTGTTGGCAAACAGTCCTGAAGTTAAGAACTCCCCCCCCCTGTCTTCCTCTCCAGGGTCCTGCTGCGTGTCCGCATGCTGTACTACCTAAGACAAGAAGTGATAGGAGACCAGGCAGATAAGATCTTAGAGGGTGCTGACTCAAGGTTAGTGTGAGCGTGCACTTGTTCTCAGCTCCGTGTGATGATAATATGCTTTGTTTAAGGACTTTCCCAGGCCATGCCGGGTTATGCTCTTTGCTTCTCGGGTGTGCCTAGTTAAGAGTTAAGTGTCTGCAAAAGACTGTATGTATAAAATGTGCTTGAAAAGTCACTGTTATTTTCAGATGATCTATTGTGATGCTCTGTGAGAAGGTTCACTCATGGTTTTAGAGAGCAACTGTCTTTTCCTTTAAACCTCTTTCCCATCCCTCCCCACATTGTCAGATCTTTATTGTGATTGAGTGAGCCAGGGAGTGTGTATCATATTCACTACTTGGAATTCATTTGGTTTTTAAATGCTAACATTTATTTTAAATATTTTCTCAATGGTTGTCTTTATAGTGAAGCAGATGTGTGGATACCTGAGCCTTTTCATGCTGAAGTTCCTGCAGATTGGTGGGACAAGGAAGCGGATAAATCTCTCTTAATTGGAGTGTTCAAACATGGTAAAGTGGTGTTTCTGTTTGAATCCATCTTGGCTGTGTGGCTCTGTCTTTATTTAGAACTCTCTGCATACTCTTTCTTAAAGTCATAATATTAATGAGCTTAGTTCCAAAGGACTCTTGGCGTCGACCATTTTTCTGTACTGAAAAATCTAATATGAACTGTAAATATCAGATGCTGTTTTTGAATGTTTGTTGAGTGTTTGAGAAGAAAACATTTCTTTCTTGGCTCCAAATAAAACCAAAACCATATTTGTTTTAATAATAGCCAAGTTGTACTATGGAGCTTCCTAAACTTTGCTTCCAGTGCTTCTTCACTTGCTAACTCTGCCAACCAGTGTCAGAGTGGACGGTGGGCTTAACCTCTGCTATTAATCTGTACAAGTGCCTCCTGGGCTTTGTTCCAAGCAATATTTCACAAATGTCAGTGCTGAGAACTCGCGGCTCCCCCGAGTGGGATGCAGCCTTGTTAACTTTGAAAGGCTGGGGCTGCAGAACTGGCATGATATATACAGTGAGCAATTCCTGATTATAATCCCAATTCTCTGGAGGTCATAGAGGTATTCTCAGCAGCCCAGGCTGACTAAAGGGGAGAATGATGGCTTATAAAACCTTTCATGATGACAGTTTGGCTGGAGGCTCTACAGCAGTTAGGAGCAGTGTGTTGTAGTACACATCCTAATTGAATTGTGCTGTTCTGCTTCTGTACTGCAGACGCGTTTTGTGAGCTCAACCTAAAAATCATTTTCCCGCAGTGCACTGTTGGGATCTGCCATTTTCCATCTAGTCAACTTGGGCAGTCAAAAAGCAAATTGGCGTTTGAAAACCATAGAGGGAACAATGTCATCTTACTGACATGCATCGTCCTAAACCTGATAAGACAGGTTTGCTGGCCTGATGTACACAGGGATTTTCAGCAAGCAGTACGAGGTTCAGCAGGGCCGAAGTGATTCAAAGAAGGGTGGGTGGGGGCAGCCTGGGGACTACCACTCCAGAGGTCGGAAAAGAACCTTCTGAAGCTTTTCAAATGTCAGACGAAATTAGATCTTGGGGGAAATAGGGTCAGAAATCTTCCCGGGCATCTGGTTATGTTTTTCTGTTCATATTTGTTGTAATTCTGATAATATCCCTGTAGTGTAACTTGGTCCCCAAAAGCATTCCCAGAATGGCTATACCCTTGAACACTTTACGAAAATAGTTTGCTTGGATTCCATGTAAGAGGATGCTCTTGACTTGGAGAAACAGCAAATGTTTGCTGTCGGGGGACCATGATTTTGTCAGTGACGAGGCCTTTCTTTGTTCCTGTGTGCTTCCTGTGGGCTGGCTGGGATGACACAGGCTACGAGAAGTACAATTCCATGCGAGCTGACCCCACACTATGTTTTCTGGAACGAGTGGGCATGCCTGATGCCAAGGCCATCGCTGCTGAGCAAAGAGGAACAGACATGCTAGCAGATGGCGGTGACGGGTAAGGAGGACATTTTAAAATTTTAATAAACTTTATATTAGTGTCATATATATTGGCAGGGTTCAGTTTTTACACTGCACAATGTATTGTGTAGTATCTGACTAGAACTGAAGCAGTCTTTACTGGTATATTTTATTTACGTATCATAATGGCTATTTAAACAAAATACATTATCTAGATCATTTGTGACTTCTCCAAATGACAGTTCCACCCACCAGTGCTTCTCTATTGTTGCATGTTTTAAATGTTGTCACAGTCACTGGAGAGGTCAAATCCAGAAGTAAAAGCAGCATTTGGCAGATTACTACTCTTCCCACCCCCTTCCTACCCTTCATTCGCTTGCTCATCATTATGACTCTTCTAAAAAAAAAATAAATAAAATTTACATTTTATATAGGGGAGAGTTTGACAGAGAAGATGAAGACCCAGAATATAAACCAACCAGAACACCATTCAAGGATGAAATAGATGTAAGAATCAGTGTATTCACTTTTAAAGCACCATTAAAATCTTATATGCCTATATAAGACTTGTTAAGTTTTATAGATAATGGTCTTTTCTTTAAAAGTTAAAGCAAAAGCAAAACCTCAGATTAAAATAATTTTATTTCTTGCTTTGCTTTCAAGGAATTTGCAAATTCTCCTCCAGAGGATAAGGAAGAGTCCATGGAAATACATGCTACAGGTAAAGCTCACAAGAGCCCAGGGGACAGAGCAGCTGTGTGCTGTGCAGGAATCGTTCACACAGGGGCATTTACATACCGCATCACTGAGTTATCTTTATTTGAATAAATTCTTATTTATTGTTGGTTTGTCGACACATAGAATTTCAGTGATGAATAACTGGGTGGGTATATTTTTAGAATAAGGCAACTGATTTTTTTTTCTTTTATATCACCAGTTAGTGAAATACTTTTATTCATCCTTAGACTGTTGAATGTAGAGCATTTGTGATTTATTCCTGTTAATACTGCCAGTTAATACAGAATGGTGACCTTTTAACCAAAATAAGAGCATTAGCTAGCAATTAACATCAACATGTCTTGTGTTTAAGATTTTTATTGTAAATGCATTTCAGAAGAGCATGCTTATGATGTAGTTCATGGTGTTTCATCATGCAGCATTGGTGAATAATCTTATCCTCCCCTCTACTTGCCAAGGCATGAAAAAGGAAATGGGTTCTAAGCTCTGTGCTAACATTATCCCCATTTCTATTTAAAAAATGAGGGCACTGAGTTGTCCTTTCCCACACTGTCATCTGAGTGTTAATGAGTCATCCTGTTTGGTTGGAAAATCCTGTGTATTGCAAGATTGAAGCTTCACATTTCAAAAATATTTTTTCCACTTCCCCAGGCAAGCACAGGGAAAGTATTGCTGAGTTAGGCCAACTTTACTGGCCTAACACTTCAACGCTGACTACCCGTCTGCGCCGCCTCATTACTGCCTATCAGCGCAGCTATAAAAGGCAACAAATGAGGCAAGAGGCCTTAATGAAGACTGACCGGCGGAGACGCCGGCCACGGGAAGAAGTGAGAGCTCTGGAAGCAGAAAGAGAAGCTATTATATCTGAAAAACGTCAAAAGTGAGATTCTTTGGGATTTCATTCAACTCCTTGAACATTGCCCTCCTTTTTACTGTTTTAGGCCCACAGCAGATAGGAAGCCCTTCACAGATAGTGACCTTCAAAGAAAACCTCACTGCATCAAAGCAGTATTGGTCCCCAGCCCCAAAAAGGTGCTGTGTGTTGAGTTTAGGGGGAAGAGGAAAAGAAATAATCAACTTAAGCTTTTCTGCTCACGTCCAATTCAAGCTAATATCTTCTTTCTAATAGATGGACAAGAAGAGAAGAAGCTGATTTTTACCGTGTGGTGTCAACTTTTGGGGTTATTTTTGACCCCATAAAACAGCAGTTTGACTGGAACCAATTTCGAGCCTTTGCCAGACTTGACAAAAAGTCTGATGAGAGTCTGGAGAAATACTTCAGCTGTTTTGTGGCCATGTGTAGGCGAGTGTGTCAAATGCCCTTTAAGCCAGATGATGGTATGTACATACGTAACAAAAGTTCTAGACTGAATGGCCAATGAAATGAATTTTTTTATTTAAACAAAGGAAGTTTTCCAAAGCAAATCTAATTGTTTTTGTGTTCTAGAGCCACCCGACCTCTCTTCCATGATCGAACCAATCACAGAAGAGCGAGCCTCTAGAACTTTGTACCGTATAGAACTGCTGCGGAAAATACGCGAGCAAGTTCTCCATCACCCTCAGCTGGGAGAAAGGCTAAAACTGTGCCAGCCGAGCTTGGATTTACCAGAGTGGTGGGAGTGTGGGAGACACGACCGAGACCTGCTGGTGGGTGCTGCTAAACACGGGGTCAGTCGGACGGATTACCACATCCTCAACGATCCCGAGTTATCCTTCTTGGATGCACATAAAAACTTTATTCAAAACAGAGGAGCAGGCAGCCTGTCTTCCTTGAATCCACTGACAGTTGGATTTGGCCCAGTTCCCCCAGTCATCTCATCCACTCACATGCAAGATGAAAAGGTGATGGAGCGAACCGAAGATAAAGTAGGGGAACTGGAAGACCCAACAGCTAAGGAGAAATGTGAAGTGAAAGTAGAGGAAGAGGAAGCTGATGGCGGTGGGGAGAAGGACAGCAAGCAGGAATGTGAGGCTGAGGCAAGCACAGGAAAGAATGACCCGAAAGGCGTGGAGGGCAGCACGGACACTGGGCCCAAGTCCGTGTCTGAAAAAGGCTCTGAAGAAGACGAGGAAGAGAAGCTTGAGGATGATGACAAGTCGGAGGAGTCCTCCCAGCCTGAAGGTAATCCCTGGGGGTGTGGGCTGACCACACAGCAGCAGTGGTGAGAGGTGGTGTTTTCCTGTAGCTTGACCAATGTGTCCCTTTTCAGGGACATTTTCTTTTGTAATTCAGTAATAATTCCAGGATATACTTTAATCTGGGATTTGGCATCTTTTGGTTTGGGAAAAGAGCAACTGGAACAACTTAAAACTATTAAGAATATAGGATAAAGATAAAGGTTTGCTTTAGATTAGCTGTATGTTAAAAATTACATATGATTGTAATCCAGGCAATGAAATGTGAGAGGAGTCATTCCCTAAATAACAGGTTAATTATTTTAAAACAGATAAAACCTCAAAAAAACCAGTTGTTTCCAAGTCACATCAACTCTTGGTCACCTAGGATTACTTCTATTTTATTATTTGAATGTACATAATTTCCTGTTTGTCTCTTGCTTCTCTATCTTTATAAAAGATGTAAAAAGTAGAAGTAAAATCAGAAAGTAATCAGTTGCTGGTTACCATTACAGTGCCATAATTAATATAAAGTTAGCATCGGGCACCACATTGTTCTCTTCTGTTCTAGCTGCAGCTTTGAACTTCAGCCAGAATGTTAGCCTGTTTTCTTGTATAGAAGATCATGGGCTCTTGGGTCAGACTTGGTTGGCATAGCCTCTGCAGTGGTTTATTTGTACAGTGCCAAAGACTTCACTTTTTTGAGCCTCTAGGATACCACTACCTACACTAAAACCTCTTGCCGTCATGTCGATCTGACCCCTGGTGACCCATAGAACAGACTAGAACTGTCATGTACTTCGCAAGGCCATCATCTTTGTAGAAGCAGACCACCATATCTTTCTTCAGTGGAATGACTGGTGAGTCTGACCTGCTGGTGTTTTGATCAGCAGCTGAGTGCTCAACCACGGTATCTACATCTGAGGGACTTTCTATGGCATGTAAAGCCATTTGTAAAGTACCTTACTGGTCATACAGCAAGTTCTCAAGAAAATGGCATTTTGTGCCATTCTTGAACTTATTTTAGTAGTATTCTGGCTGTGAGTAATGCACATGAACTCCTCTCTGAGCAGGAGCTGTATCTAGAGGGAAGAATTTTGATGAAGAAAGCAATGCCTCTCTGAGTACTGCCAGGGATGAGACCCGCGATGGATTCTACATGGAGGATGGAGATCCCTCAGTGGCTCAGCTTCTCCATGAACGGACATTCACCTTCTCGTTTTGGCCCAAGGTTGGCATTTTGTTGTTGACTCTAAAGAGACAAGAGAGAATATGATCTTAAATGAAACCTTAACACAATTATAAAAACTGTAGACCCTTCTCATTGTGAACAAATGATCTAGAAAAGCTTGAAGAAAGAAGTCTGTAGAATATCTTGCTAAGTAGAAAAAAATGGCACAAAGCGAACTGAAAACGAGCTCTTGTTTGTGTTGCTTTTGCCTTTGGCTGTGCAGGGTGGTCGTTCATGTTGTCCAAGGTTGGATGGGAATTAGGTCCATAGAATCACCTTTTGGAAAAATTAAGCATTTGGACCTTTAAAGCTCTTTGTTTTTATTTGAAGCAGAACTTTCAGATTTAAGTCCGTTTGGAAATCTGCAGTCTTCTTCACTCGAGAGGAGGAGAGTGGGCCATTGGCCCATTTGCTTCAGTATGTTATGGGTTAATCCAAATAATGTGTGACCAAAAGAAAAGTGAAAATTAATTTTTAGGCTAAATAGCCTAATTTTTAAAAAAATTCCTTTGTAATTTGGGCCTGATTTTTAGGATGGGATCTGATCATCCTGATCATTAAACTTGGCAGACTTACAGCAAGACCAGGCTTCAGCAGACTGCTCCCAGCCAGTCCTTTGCAGACATGCTACTATAAGATACAGGGGGGTGTTGATGGTGCACTGTCCCATCAGGGTCAGGGCTGGTTCCCCAGTGATGCAAATCACCTTTCCTGAGAACACAAGGGAGTTCTGCAGGCTAGTCACAAGGTTTCTGGTAGCAAGCACTTCCAATCGATGGACCTCCATCTAAGAGCTGTAATTAGAAATTTTTTAACGTACACGCTTCAATGAAATTTGAACTGATACTAGGTGAGGAATGCAAATGACATTCATTTGATGTTCCTAGTTTGGTACCCATTTCATAATGCTGGGCTTTATTAATAGTGACATTAATAATGTCCCATTTCCTGGGATAGACTGTAGGCCAGTTTATGCATCTAAAGTGTCAGCACATCAAGAAATAAAAGGCAGGGCCTCCCCCAATGCTGAGTGCTAATGCTGAATGATAAGACAGAGATTACTTTTAAAATTAGGAGTATTTTAAAGTTGATAGTTCTGGGTTATGTTTTATTTTTTATGTATTCAAGTGTTCATAATTGAAAAGTAGTAAGTTTCTGGATTAGGGCCACTCAAGACTTTCTACCAGAGCAAGGCAGGTTTTTTATGGGTTTTATTTGCTTGTTTGCTTTTTACATCTTTTGCTTTATGTTCATCCAGAAACTTTACGTCTTTGTAACAGTTTCACACAATTTGTGCTCTCCCTCTAGGATCGAGTTATGATAAACCGATTAGATAACATCTGTGAAGCAGTGCTGAAAGGCAAATGGCCAGTCAACCGGCGCCAGATGTTTGATTTCCAGGGCCTCCTCCCTGCTTGCACACCTGCCGCGGACAGCCCCCTGCAGAAGAGGAGCTTTGCTGACCTCTCAATGGTTGGCCATGCCAGTGTTGGTGGGAGTGAGGACATCATGGCTTCTCCTCACTTAACAAAAGTGAGTCACCGTGGCACGTGCAGATAAAGGCAAACTCTCTAAATCTTAACCTGTTTGAAAGCTTGATTTAACTGGTCCCAATGAAAAAGAATGAAACTACTGGTCCCTGGTTTTATCCATTTCTTTTGCTTTTCTGTGGTTGTAGTTGTTTTTGTTGTTGTTGAATACCATCAAATTAGAACCAAACCCTAGCTGCTCCTGCAGCTGTTTTCAGAGGAAATAAGTTGCATGGGAGGAGACTTTCTGTCTTTCTCTCATGGAGCAGCTGGTGGATTAGAACTTGGTGCTTTTGGGTTGACAGCCGAGCTCCTTATCACTAATTAGGCCACCAGTGCTCCCAATTAGGAATGTTTATTACTCAGGCTTCTTGCTTTTTTTTCCCCACTCCACCTCTTGTTGTGTATTGTTGAATAGGATCCGATTGGCACAGGAGGAGATTGCCCCTTCTTCTCCAGCAGAGCATCTGGTGGATTTGAACTGCATGCCTTCAGGATTGCAGCACAGTTTCATGCCACTAGGCCACCAGAGCTCCCTTACAGACTTTATGCTTTTTATTTGTAGAAGGGAGCTACGTATCAGGAGAGTTGCTTCAGTTCACTACAACTCTTTTTTTCTGCTATTTATCAATAGAAAGATGCGCTCAACCTGGTGGCCCCTCGCCAGCGACGACGACGCAGGCGGAAAATCGAAATTGAGGCTGAAAGAGCTGCCAAGCGACGGAACCTCATGGAGATGGTTGCCCAGCTTCGTGAGTCTCAGGTGGTCTCAGAAAATGGACAAGAGAAAGTTGTAGATTTATCAAAGGCCTCAAGAGAGGCAGCAAGTTCTACCTCAAATTTCTCATCTCTCACTTCAAAGTTTATCTTGCCTAATGTCTCCACACCAGTCTCTGATGCCTTTAAGACTCAGATGGAATTGCTCCAGGCAGGCCTGTCACGAACACCTACGAGGCATCTGCTTAATGGCTCCCTAATGGATAGACAGCCTCCCATGAAGAAGAGGCGGGGAAGGAGGAAGAATGTGGAGGGCCTTGATCTGCTTTTCATGAGCCACAAACGAACATCACTGAGTACAGTAAGTCAGGGGCCCTGCCTGAGCAGTGGGCCAGGGCTACGGCAGGGCCGGGTGTCAGAGCGGCCTCTTGTGCTATGGAGAAAGTGCCAGTGAACAGAGTCATGGTTTTGAGAGGAAGATTGTGCTGGCCACACTGCTCAGCCTGAACTAAGTGTAGTTTGAATATTTGTTTCTCTCAGACTTCTGATATTATTGATGATTTTCGGAAGTGACCCAAAACAACAGCATGTTTTTCTGAGCCCCAGATCATTGTCTGAGTATTTGAGGTGGAAAAAAAATCTGCTTTTAAAAATATTAATTTACTTTGTACCAGGCATCTATCTATTAGATTAATAGAAAAGTTTAGAATTACGCTGGAAGTTGTGCACATACACATAACGTGATTTGAAGTTGGAACCACTTCATAGCTGACCCTCCAGTGGGTTTTCAGAGGTTGTAACTTAAAGGGTGGATGAACAGTGCAGGAGAGGGAGATCCCAGATATGCGGAATTGATACAGTAACTGGGGCAATGGGGGTTGGGGTATCAGAGTTAGTGAGACTGGCTCAGGGAAGGATTCAGAACTGCTATACATAGGGTCACAAGTGACTCAATGGCATATAAAAACAATAACATACTGTGACAGGTTTGGAAGAAGGAGTGGCATCCACTTCCTAAACAACATGCCTCCGAAAACTCTGTGAACTTTGATAAATGTCCATAGTTGTAGAGGTGCTTCAAGCCTTTTATTCATAGGGTCACTGAGTCATGCTCAACTCAAAGGCGATGAACAACAACTAATGAGAGGAGGTTGTCCATCCTTCTCCCATGGAGCTACTGATAGATTCAGATCACCAGGGAGGAGTCACCTTTGGGTTGACAGCAACTCTCTATGCCTGCCAAGTCACCAGAACTCCCTGCATGGAAATGAGGCATCTTTAAAATGCGAGCTTAAAAGGCCTCTGTTAGTTTAGATTTGAAAGAAAAATGCATGCCAATGAATTTCAGCATTTCCTTTTCAAAATCAAAAGACATGAATATACCATCACCAACATCTTTTCTCTGATCTACTTCAACTGAACTGTCCACCTGACTCCCTGAATTTCTACAAGAACTTTACCACAAAGATCTCTTGATGTGTGTTCTGTTATTAGAAAGGATCAGAAACCCAGGTCCACATGGGGCTCTGGAGCATTGGCGTGTGTGGGTTTAAGGCAGATGGGGTGCTTGCAGGCACCTCTGAGGTAGAGCCCAGTGACCTCTCCCCACGGCAACAGAACCCCACAATTAAGACTATTTGGGCAACACTGGACTTTTAACTATGGGGGGAATAATTGTTTAAAATGTCTTTTTTTAAATACTATCTTGTTTTCCATTTTCTGAACCTAGAGAAAAGCCCCGGAAGGGGAGGGGGGGGCTCAGTGACTTTAAGCCAAACAGTTGCTGTCTCCACTTTGTGCTAAGCCTGGGTGTCACAGTGGAAGTGTGCCCTGGAGGATTGTCAGTTGCTTGGTTTTCTAGATGTTGATCAACCACGTCTTTTTTCCAAGGTGCCTCTAACTGGGTTCTCCATCTTTTTGATTTAGTGGTTGTGCACTAAGTTATTTGTGCCAACCTGGAACTCCTTCAGTAAAATAAAAGGCTAGAAAAAGTTATGGCTGACTCAAAGCCCAGAGATATTAAAACCACACTTAATAAAATTTGTTTAACGTTCATTGTTAGGTTCCGTTGAGTTGACTCCATCCCGTAGCAATCCTGTGTGCAGAGCAGAGCCCTGCATGTGTTGTCCTCACAAACTCGGTTGTGCTTAAGCCAGTTATCGTTGTCTCTGGTTAATCCATCTTGCTGAGGATCTTCCTCTCTTTTGCTGCCCTTCTGCTTTTTCAAGCATAATGTTCTCCAGTGTTTGACTTCTCCTGACAACATGGCCATGGTATGTGAGATGAAGTTTCACTATCTTTGCCTTTAAGGCACACTCTTTCTTCATTTCTTCCTAGATGAATGTATTTGTAGTTCTGGTAGTCCATGGTATATTTAATACTCTTTTCCAACACAACATTTCAAAAACATAAATCACTGGCCTTACATATTCATCCTCTAAATTTCATGTGCACATGAGGAAGTGGAAAATGTCATGGCTTGGGTCAGACGCACCTTAGTTTTTAAAGTGACATCTTTGCTCATTAGCAATATTTTAAAGAAGTCCTTGACAGCAGGTTTGCTCAGTATAATAGTGGTTTCTTGACAACTATTTTATGCGTATTGATTGTAGGTAAAAGCACAATTTCTGAAGTTACTTCAATTCCACAGTTATAATAAGGCGTTTTTGTTGGTGATGGGATTATTTTTAAAAAACAAAACCAAACACACCTGATGATGGTTCAACCATAAGCAGCTATTTCAAAAGTTGAAATGCCATTTCTAATGTGATCCTCAGGCAGAGATGAGTCACTGGCGATAAACCTTCTTTTCTGAAATGCTCCTAACACTCAGATAGATCTTATTGACTCAAGAGTTCTTTCTCCATAAGCATTGACAAACTGGGACATTACTGGAGCTGATACCTTTTTTCATTTACTGTTGTATTTAGTGTTTGGATCATAGCACATCCTCGTCTATGGAGCAGGCATCAGGAATTAATAGTCCTAGGTGCTGTTTCTCTTTCACCAACACAAACCCTATACTAAACCTAATGCTGGCTTTATTCAGTTCCTATAGATTAAGTAATTGCTAAGAATGTATTGATTTCATTTTTCAAAAGTCACATTTAGCAACCCAAGTCAACACTAAGAAAACTGATGTATATTGGAGAATGTGCCTTTTAAATTGCTTTTTTATTATCAACTGCTAAAGTGTAAGGATTTTCCTATTTAATGTTGTGGAGGGCAATGTGCATGCTTTGGCAATGTATGCTTAGTTAGACTAAAGTTTGAGAATGTTTTGTATATGGAACAGGACAGATCCTGTAAGTAAATACCATACCAATGTGCATGCATATGCAAGCACACATGGACACCATGACTAAAGCATGATGAGGGGACTTGTGAGTCAAAAAAAGGAACATCAGAAGAGGAGGGGATATATGGAGATAAATAGATCAAATTACCTTAGAGATGTTAGTACTTGGACTGAAGTTTGTGGATTGGGTAAGGAATTGGCCATTTGCAAAGGCATAAGTGGTGAGGCAGAGACGAGCTTGGAGACCTGGCAAGATGTGTCCCTAAGGCTTTGACTGCTTGCTCAAGAAATTGAATCTTAGCCTAAAGGTGATGAGTCCCAGTCGCTGAAGTCAAACATAGGAGTAATGTGATTGGATGTTTTTAAAAAACTCTGCAAAGCTGCACTGTATTGCAGAGGGGTAAAACTAGAATTGAGGAGGCCATATGGGAGGATTATAGTAATACGGTAAGAACTGAAGAAGGCCTGGGCAGTAGAGATGGAGAAATCGATTCATGTAAGAAGTATTTGGAGATGGATTTAACAGAATTTGAGGCCCTGGGGCTGAATGATGGTAGTGTCCATTTTAATTTGGGTTCATCTTGTGACCACTCCCTACATACTCCCCACCCCCATACACACACACACATGATTCAGCACCCCTGACGGGTCTTGTGCACAGAGTGCTGATGAGTCTAGATGGCGTTTGGAGTGATGCTTTCATTACCAGGGATCTTCAAGGGAGATGGAATAGACTGGCTGCTGTGGGTTTTGGAGCTCACACATGTGGTACCTGTGTTCATAGTGACCTACAGAGGGATTTTGAAGCTTAGTGGTAGGATGTATTATGAACTTTTTAACTCATGAATTCTTCAGTATAAAGGATAATATTACAAGTTTCTCTTTATAACTTAAACATTGTTCCAGAATATACCTTATTTTAGGAAATGTCTCCTTTTTTCAGTAAAGAACCATTATGCTAAGATAGTGTTTTCTTGAGGACATTAGCAGAGTGTGTCCTGAGGTGAAAATCCCAACCATTGTCAACTCTCTACAGGAAGATGCTGAGGTGACCAAAGCTTTTGAAGAGGACATAGAGACTCCCCCAACAAGAAACATTCCTTCTCCGGGACAACTGGACCCAGATACACGGATCCCTGTGATAAACCTAGAAGATGGAACTAGGCTGGTGGGGGAAGATGCTCCTAAAAATAAAGATTTAGTTGAATGGCTTAAGCTGCATCCAAGTTACACAGTTGATATGCCAAGTTATGTACCAGTAAGTATTTCAGCATTTGGACTTGGAAGGAGTCCTCAAGCAGTGCGGTTTCCTCTCCCATGCATTAGTATCCCTGAACATTTTGGACCTGTCATGCTTTTGCGCCAGTGTCTTCTACATTGTTGCTGTTGCCTATAACTTCCCTGTAGGATTTCCTCAATAAGATCTTTCCATCAGAGTCTTGTCTCTCCCAAAACCCTGGTTTGGGTTCTATTCACCACTGTTTTGACTAGTGACTGAATGATTAACCACCAGGAAACCTCGCCTTAGTGTCCATTACATTAGAGACTGGTTTCCCAGCTGCCATTCTGAGGGGTATTGGCACAGGTAGGTTAAGATGGTGGCTCTATTTAACTCTTCTTCAACCAGTACGAACATAATGTTTTCAGGAATTCTTTATATGGCCCGGCTTCTGTGTGCCCTTGTCAAGGTAATGCCCTTGAAAGTACTCTAATTGATCTCCACACAAGGTCTGACCAGCATAAAGTACTGTGAGGCTGTTTCTTTCCTGAAATGTTCCCAAGTTAATGCAGCCTAAGATTTTATTAGCTTCTTTTTAAGCAAATAAATATCACTTGTACCTCATATTAAACATTTGATAATTAGTGCCTCCAGATGATGTGTTGCATACACTGCTGGCAAGGGAAAGAAACTTTATTTCCTAAGCTTGTGTGATTGAGTTAAGAAAATGGAAATGTTTTAGTTCAACCAGGTGTTGAAAATGCTTTCTCCCACTCAGGTGTTTTTGTCCCTTGTATTAGTTCTTCTCACATGTATACTTCGTGTTGTCAGATGTGGTATTGTCTCTGGGATTGTATAAGTCACTTTAGTAGTCAGTAAATAAGATAGTAGAAAGCAGCCTTTTAAAAATACAATGGCTTGACTAAACATTACAATTCAAAAGTTATTGTAATTGATAGACAATTTTATTCCTAATGCCTGAGGACATGGGGAGAAAATTTTTCCTTTTGAAGAAAAGCAAGAATCCTAATAATTTAAAAGATCCAGAAACCTTCATAGTAAATGAGAATGGCTTGATAGTTTTCTTTGCCATCTATAGAGGAAAGAATGTATATTACGTGAACTTTTTTTTTTTTTTTTTCAGAAGAATGCAGATATGCTGTTTTCCTCATTCCAGAAGCCTAAACAAAAACGACATAGATGTCGAAACCCTAATAAATTGGACATAAACACTTTGACAGGAGAGGAAAGGGTGCCTGTTGTCAATAAGCGAAATGGAAAGAAGGTAAAGACTAAAAGAGAGAACAGACCTCTGATTTCTTAACCCAAAAAACATGCTTTTACCTGCCATCATTTTTAAGGAAAAAGAAACATGTTTCTTCTACAATCTGTATCTTCATATTTAAAGAGGAGTTTGAGGAATTTTGTTTGATTTTCAATTTTCTTTTTAAATGCTTCTCCCCAGATGGGTGGAGCAATGGCCCCTCCAATGAAGGATCTACCCCGGTGGCTAGAAGAAAACCCAGAATTTGCAGTTGCCCCAGATTGGACTGATATAGTTAAGCAATCTGTAAGTACCAGCTCCTACTCCTAAGTGTTTTCTTACTTCTCATTGCCCATTAGTTATTCTGTTTTAATAATTCTTCACTTTAGAGATTTGAATGTAATAGATTATCTTCATTCATCATTAATACATCATCATTTCATAACAGAGTATCATTTGTCCTGAGTGGCTTGGTTAGAAGGAATTCTATGGATTTGCTTACATATTCCTTATGTGACAGATAGGCTTAGCAAAGAGAGGACCTTTCAGGTGATGTACTCAGAGTCTCATCTGTGGAGTAGAATTTGATGTGGAAATCATAAAGACTGTTAACTATAATTTTGCATTAAAAACAAGTGAAATACAGGAAATTCTTCCTAACTAATTCATTATTCTTTTAAAATTGTAATTTGCTAATGATAGGGTAATTTCTTGTTTAAGTTAACTAACAGTACAAATCTTTTGGTATGTAATTATGTGAATTTTCTTGAACTTTTTATTTGGATTTATTGAGTGCAAATTTACAGAGTAGATTGGTAGTCCATTCAGTTATTCGTACGTATTTTGTTTACGACATTGATTACCAATCCTTAAAATTTTTTTCCCTTTTTTATTGTGATGTACTTCAAAGTGTACAAAGCAAAATGGCTTTCCATTCGGTAGTTGATGCCCACTTTATGGTGTTCATTACAGTACACACAATAAACATACACAGTAAACACGTTCTTTCTACTTCATCTCAGTGATTTCTGTTTCCGTTAATCTTCTCCTATGCCTTCCTGCCTACTGGGCTTCTTTCCCTAGGCGAATGCTTCCCTGTTGATCTTATATGGTTGATTATTCTCAGAAATAGATAAGTGCTTCCTTGGTGTTACCGTTCATCTCACAGGCCTGTCTCTTTAGCTGCAAGTGGAGCCACAGAGGTTAGTTTTGTTCTAGGTTAGAAGGGCTGTTCTTGAGAGTTGATTAGTCTTTATCAGACACTCGCCATCTTTTTCGCCACTTCTGTCCAGGACCTGCTCCTATGATCCCTTTCAAGCAGTCAGCCTTGGCAGCCAGGCCCCATCTAGTTCTGGTCTCAGGGTTATGGAGGTTAAGTTACATGTGGTTCATTAATACTTGTGCTCATTGTTTCTATGCATCTTTGCATTTCTGCCCTCTTCATTATTCCAGACAAAAAGAGATTAATAATATACCTTAGATAACTGCTTGCAAGCTCTTAAGACCCCAGTCATTACTCCAGTTACATGAATTTTAACACATGTATAGATTAGAGTCACCCTCCATTTTCCCATAGAAGCTCTTGTGTTGTAGTACATTGTGTGTCAGGCTGATAACTCAAAGGCTGTGGTTCAAATCCATTGGCTGGAAGAAAGATAAGTGATCTCCTCCAGTAAAAATTTACAACCTCTGAGACCTGATTGATGTTAGTCAGAGTCAGCTCGGTAGCCCTGAATAAAGTCATTATTAGAATACAGGGTCGCTCCATCACTCTAGAACATCTGGTTTGAGACTTTTCTACCTTTCCCTCACTCCCAACCCTGGCAACCGTCAGACTATTTTCAGACTGTAGCTTTTTTTCTTAGAGTATCGTTTAATGTTAGCATCACATATATAATCTTTTTTAGCTACTGTTGTCATGCCTTTGAGATTCATCTATGTCACTTTGTATATTTATTATTACTGGAGAATATTCCATTGCAGGGGCTACCATGCTTATTTTTTAGCTTTACATTTGGGTTATGTCCAAATTTTAACAATTCATTTTTCCACATCTCTCAGCTACTTTCTAGCCATTATAACTAACATTAATTATAGATGCAAATAGTTTAACATTTAAAATAGTAAAATAGACCCTAACAGGTTTTGGGGAGATTCAGCATAATTCAGTAAGCTAATAGATTACTTAAAATGAGAATGTTTGCTTGTGTTGGTTTTACCACTGAGATTTTTTTACTGGAAATGATTGGTTATATATTTCCATTTGAAATGCCACAAAGACCTATGTTACAATTTCAGCATCAGGACCACTTGGGAAACTGAATGGATGATTTGCTGGAAGATACAAAGCATAGATGACATTCTGAGGAAGGGAGTACCTGGTGGTGTAGTGGTTAAGTGTTCTGCTGACCATGAGGGGTGGGGTGGTTACAGGGGAGAGCACCCCACATCTGTGAAGGTAGCACCCTGGCAGTTGTGTCCTGTTTTGTTGGTGGTTCTGGGCCCAGCCAGCTGGTTTTGATTTGGGGTTTGCAGTATGCTAACTGATCACCTTCGCCTAGGAGCAGCTTGGAGAGAAGGCCCGGTCCTTCTGAGCTGCTGTGGTCCCAGTGGCCCCCTGGGGTCTTAGGGGCTGCTTTTCTACTCATGTGCACCCTCTTGCGGGAAAGCAGTCTTGCTGGGATATCAAGTACCTGTCTGCCAGCTCTGTCAGCCATGCTAATGCCCCCCCCTGCCATCCTCAGGGCTTTGTTCCTGAGTCCATGTTTGACCGTCTGCTGACTGGCCCAGTGGTGCGGGGAGAGGGTGCCAGCCGACGAGGACGACGGCCCAAGAGTGAGATTGCCAGGGCTGCCGCTGCTGCCACTGTGGCTTCCACGTCAGGCATCAACCCGTTGCTGGTCAACAGCCTGTTTGCAGGCATGGACCTCACCAGCCTGCAGAACCTGCAGAGCCTGCAGTCCCTCCAGCTGGCCGGGCTCATGGGCTTCCCGCCTGGACTGGCCACGGCGGCAGCTGGCAGTGAGGCCAAGAGCCCGGCAGTGCTGCCGCTGATGCTACCTGGCATGGCGAGCCTGCCAGGTGTGTTCGGCCTGGGTGGGTTGCTCAATGCCCCGCTGACCGCGGGCAATGCGCCTGGACCCAGCCCCGGCCTAGGGGACCCAGAGGACAGTGCAGCCAAAGCAGATGACAAGGGCAACGAGAATGAGGATGAGAACAAAGACTCTGAGAAAAGCACAGAAGTGGTTTTGGCTACTGACTCTGCAAATGGATCTGTTGGTGCTGCTACTGCCCCGGCCGGCCTGCCCTCCAACCCCCTGGCCTTCAACCCTTTCCTCCTGTCCACCATGGCCCCCGGCCTCTTCTACCCATCCATGTTTCCACCTCCGGGCCTGGGAAGGCTGACGCTACCCGGCTTCCCCTCACTGGCTGGGCTGCAGAACACCGCAGGCGCTGAGGACAAGGCCACCGACAAGGCCGAGGAGACGCTGGAGGGCAGTGATGCTGAGGAGAGCCTGGACAAAACGGCCGAGTCCTCGGCCATGGACGACGAGACAGCACAGGGCGAGGAGCTCGACTCACCTGATGGGCCGGAGGAGGGAGATCGCAATGGAAGTGACGCGTAACCAGTTCCAGTTAAAGTGTTTCAACTTTTGACAAGTGGTAGTCCTACTGTTTACACTCACAGTTAATGTTCATACCTAGTTTTATAAGCTGTTCTGTAACATAGTGTAGCAAAGAAAAAAAGAAAAGAAAGTCCAAGTCATGTTATACAGGTGTGTCAAAGGTATCTTGGTCATTGAATATTGTGCAGTGCATTATTTATTATCCCTAGGAGAGATGAAATTTGAGAGGCGATCATGTCTTTTTAAGGAAACTTACATAATGCTCTGCTTTTTTTTCTTTTTTTCCTTTTGGTACCATTGCTATTATAACAACAACAAAAAAAAAGCAATTTTTAACTGAGTGGCACAATAGAAGGAAGTGCCCCTTAAAGGAAATATGAAGTTATATATTTAATTTTTTTTTCTTTTTTTTTCTGTGAAGGTCAAGATGAAATTTATCATACATATCATTCTTGCTCACGTTCTCCTTTTTGACTGTATGGGGTTCCCGTGTTGTTTGTACCCACACACACATCCACTCTGACAATCTCCACCTGCGTGTGAACGTCTCTGTCTGAGACACAGCAATAATAAGGCAGCTGTTGAATGTGAAGGGTCCCTTTGGAAATAAATCTACTGGGAGGGTTCTTGCCAGATAGAACTACAGTTCCATTGTTTTGTGATCTTGTAATGCACTGGTTTAAACGAATAGATAAGTAAATAGAGAAGAGAGAATCAGGTACCTTTTTTAAATTAAAGGACTTTGTTACTTTAGCCACAAAGCTAAACAGCATTACCTCAGCTCTAAACTAGCCTTGAAGTTTACAGACATGACTTTGTAAATGTATTGTTCTTTCTTTGTTGTGATGTCCTTTATTTTTTCCTTTAAAAACTGCTATCATGTAAGATAAAATGTAAATTGCTGCCAACTGTAGTAATGATGCTTTTAATAAAAGTGGCCCATGATATGCAGAGATGTAATTATAGAATATAGTATGTAGGGGAACTGCTGTTCACTCTATTTTTTTGTATTCGCAATAGATGCAAATACAGTATTCTGGCTTTTGTACAGTTTTTTGATATATCCTCTTAGACCAAATTAGCTGTTAACAAAGCTCTAAACTGTCCTCAAAATAAGACAAGAAGAAAAATCCTGAATTACCTTCCCAGAATTCTACCCCAGTTATCTCAATAGAGAAACACACACTCATACCTTCCATTACTCTCTGCAAAGGGCATCTGAGACTGAGAATGCGTACAAATGTGTGCAGCATGTGATAATGTGGTACACTGAAGAACAAAGGGCTAAAAGAAAAATGAGACTTTAATAGGCACAATATCTGGACCATTTATTCTCAGTTAATGGGTAGAAAAACACAATGCCTTAGTGTCAGTGAGGGACACAAAGGCACCTGTTGTCCTGCAGACACGTGCTTGATGCCACAAATCAGTGTGTAGAGAATCCACGTGGGACCCGAGCGGATGCCTTCATTGCGTGCGCTCAAGTATGCACCCACTCACACATCTCGAGAGCCTACTCAATTATAAACAGGGTTTGACCTTTGATATTTAAGATGAAATGGAATTTGATACCTGCTCTTTCCATGTTTTTGCCATCTGAACAAGTAGAAACCTCATGACCATTGATATTTAAACAAAAAAAAGAGGAAGGAGATGGACACAGTTCTGTCTGTGGCTCCCCAGTACCTGCCTGCAGTGCACACACAAGCCGTCCTTCGGTCTATTATGAGCTACAGGCGAGAGCATCCAAATTCTTTCTGCACAAGGAGTCTGTTCATTTATACCCCAAGTTGAAATGTATCCATGATGGTCCTGAAAGAATTGCTTGAAACATAGATCTATGATTATTCATCAACATCGTTAGTATCTCTTCAAAATTATTAATTGATAGTAACACTTTGGAAGAAAGTGCCTTTAATAGTATCTTCTGAGAAGGAATTCTTTTGAACGTGGAAAATAAGACTAGCTATACACTAAGTGTAGGGAATGTAAATATTTAAATTACTTTTTAGCTTTAACATTTAGGAGAAAATTTGTATAATAAAATGAATCACAGGAGAGTTTTTTTCTAATTCTTTATAGCATTGGCAGTTTTGGAATTTTTCCCCCCTCCTTGACTCCTGAACATAGGTGACTATGATGTGGCTTGTACCTGTTGGAGGGCAGTGTGTAAGGACCTGGCATTGTCCCTTTTTGACTGCAGTGTGTAAGTACCTGACATTGAAAGAGGCCATCTCCTGGCCCTCAGGCATCATCTGTTAACTGCTTTACAGTTATTCAGACTTAGTGAGTATGCATAGTATATCATAGTGAGATACATGTTTTTCCTTCCTTGCTAATCTCAAATCTACCAAAGTATCTGGTCAGCCACTTGGTAACTGGCATTTTTGGTGTGCTCTGTGTAAATGAAGCAGGCTTTCATATAAATGAAGCAGGCTTTGCTTTCCAGACTGGCTGACTTCTCATCTCCACTACAAGAGAGAAGTGCTGGTCTTCCTACAGTCTACTGGCTAGCCAGCAATAGTTGCAGGAACTTGATCTGAACCCACAAAGCATGACGCTCTCCTCACTGTGCTACACTCTTACATCTCTGAGAAAATTATTATGTAATAATGACTCAAAAGGGAGATTTGTTAATGGTAGTCTCTAGGGAGTTGCACTGCTAACCTCAAGGTGGCACTTCTATGGAAGCTCAAATCCACCAGTAGCTCCACAGGAGAGAGATGGGCATTCCCCTGTGTGACTTATAACCTCAGAAACCCAATGATGGTCCAGTCATTGGACATGCATGTTTTGTTAGTTTAATAACTCAAGTGTGTGTTCACACAATGGAATACTACACTGCACCGAAAAAAAAGGAACTCCTGCAGTATTATTCAAAATGGGTGACCCTGGAGGACATTATGCTGAGTGAAATATCTCAGGCACAAAAGGACAAATACTGCATGGTGCCACTGTTGTGAAACAAGACTGACATTGGGGTTGAGGGGAGACTGTGAAAGATGGGTTGAATAATGTATACTGCATTGAAACAGATGAGGGAGAAAACAGTTTAAAAGAGATATGTGAATAGGTACCTTTTGTCATTACAGGAGTCCAGAAAGAACGCTACATAGTGGAGTGGACCTGGGGGGAGGAATTGTAAAACAATGAAATAATTTTTCTGTTACTTTTCAAAGAGAAGGGGGGGAGCGCAGGGAAAAAAGTGCAACGATGAATAGAAATTTAAAAAAAAAACCAATTTGAAGTTAAATTGGCAATGGTAACCTGAAAGAATACATAAAACTTAAAAAAATAATAATAACTCAAGTGTGTGTAGTTTTACCTTTTTCTGTTCCCATACCTTTCCATGACAGTATGTTTGAAACTGTAAATTAAATATACAGAATTTAGTTGATGACACTGGTTAAATACTTAAAAGCTCAGCAGTTTGAACTGGCCAGCTGCTCTTCATGGGAAAGATTTGACAGTCTACTCCTGTAAATGTTTACAGCATTGGAAACTGGGGCAGTTCTAATTATGTCTTACTGTCATTAGGAATTGACTTAAATTGCACTCGACTTTGATACGAATTGTCACCTGGAGTAGTATGGAATCTGACCAAAAACTTAAGTCCCAATTACTTTCATTTAAAATTTGGATTTAATTTGCTTTGTGAATATTTCTGTTGAAAAAAATCCAAAACATTAAAAAAAAATTATTGTTGTTGTTGTTAGATGCTGTCAAATTAATTTTTACTTATAATGACGCTATGAATAACAGATCTGAACCCTGTCCTGTGCCATCTTCACACTGCTGACATGCTAGAGCCCATTGCATTGTGACAGTCACTGTGTCAGTCCACCTGGTTGAGGGTCTTCCTCTCCTTTGCCAACCCAAGCATCATATCCCTTACCAAGGAATAGCACCTCCTAGCAACATGCCCAAAGTATGTGAGGTTAAGCCTCATCTTCTTTGACTCCAAAGAGCACTCTGGCCGCACCTTCTCCAAGACATATTTGTTCTGTTGTCCGTCCATGGGATGTTTAGTGCTCTTCTCCAACACCACAACTCAAAGGCATCAGTTATTTTTCTGTCATCTTATTCATTGTCCAGCTCTCAGATGCATAGCAAGTCAGAAAACCATATGGTCAGAAACACCATATCCTGATCAATTTAGTCTTCAAACTGAATTACTCCTCAATAATTTGAGGAAGTCCCTACCTGCAGACTTTCTCAGTACAATGTATCTCCTTATTTGCTGGTACCAAGGGTATTAATTGTGGATCCATACAAAATAAAGTTGTTCACAGTTTCAATTTCTTCACCATCACCATGATGTTGCCTATCAATCCAGTGGTAAGAATCTTTGTTTTCTTGTCATTGAGATGCAATCCATACAGAAGGCTAAATTCCTTGATCCTCTGCAACAAGTGCTTCAAGTCCTCCTAATCTTCAGCAAGCAAGGTTGTGTCATCTACATAACACAGATTAGCTGCTCAAATAATTTGCTTAGCATATAAATTGAATACGTGTGGGGAGAGAATACAACCCTGACACACTCCCTTCTTAATTTTAAACCATGCCGTGTTCCTCTGCTCTGTTAACACAACAACCTCCTGATTCAGGTAAAGGCTTTGCATGAGTACAGTTCGGTCCTCTGGGACTCCCATGTCAGCCACAACTTGTTATGATCCACACAATCAAATGCCTTTGCATAGTTAATAAAGCACAGAAATTTTTTCTAATATACTTTCAGCCAAGATCCATCTGACATCAGCAATGATATCCTTTATGCCACAACCTCTTATAAATCCTGCTTGAATTTCTGTCAGTTCCCTGTGTATGTACTGTATTTGCCTTTTGTGGAGTGATATCAACCAGTCATTACAAAAACAGGAGAAAGAAAAAACCAAGATGGTTATCAGGAGAGACTAAAAACTACACTAGCATCAAAAGCCAAAGTGAAAGAGCAGAACAGAAGATTCCAAAGGGCAGCTTGAGAAGACAAAAGTATAAAGAAACATGCAGAGAGCTGAAATTGGAGACTAAAAAGGGAAGAACTCTCCACATTTCTCAAGCAGAGAACTGAAAACAAATTTAAGCCTCTAATTGCAATGACTAAGGATGACTCCTTGGAGTTGTGCTGGAGAAGTCGAACATACCATGGACCAACAAGAAAAATATGCCTGTCTTGGAGAGGGTGAACCCAGGTCTCTCCTTGAAGGCTAGGATTTTGAAGCTCTGGCTCCTATACTTTTGGGCACACGGCCAGGAGGGACCTATCCTTGGAGGACATCATCCTCAGAAGGGTGGAGGGATAGCGCAGAAGAGGAAGACTCCAATTAGATGGATTGATACAGTAACGAGGATAATGAGAATAGGTGTGTTGGAATCAGACTGGCTTAGGACAGGGCAGGCTTCAAAGCTGTTTGTACATAGGGTTGCTATGAGTCTCAGGCAACTCGAAGGCACATAACAACAGTCATAATACTGAAAGATGCTATGGGCAATATATTGAACTGCCAGAAAGCATCAAAAGAAGATGGAGGCAGTAAATCTTTTACAACAGCAGATTACCACATCCTTCTAGCATGGTACAGCTGTTGAGTTTACACTGATGACTTCTATTAGCCTAGACAATTATTGTTAAATTATTGTTGTTGGGTACCATCGAGTCAAGTCAACTCACAGCGACCCTATGAACAAAAGATCTGAACCCAGTCCTGTCCTGCACCATCCTCACACTTTCTGACACGTGAGAGCAGCAGTCACCGTGTCACTCTACCTTGTGGGTATTCCTCTACTTCCCTGACCCTCCACCATTCCCAATATCATGTCTTTCTCCAAGGCACTTAGTTGTCGTAAAAGATTTACAGTCTTAAAAACACTGTAGGGCAGTTCTACTCTGTATTATAAGGTCACTGAATTGGATTCTACTCAGTGTCAATCGGTAGTGAGTAAGTTGCATTGATTAATGTAGTTGTTGATTAAAAAGCCGCCAAAAAAAGACGTGCAAAAAATTCTATATAAATATAATTGTTTTCTTACTGTATGTGAATGCCAAATAAAAGCAAGACCAGACGGGGGTGGAGGGTGGGAGGAAGGAGGAAATACACAGAGTCAACAGTACCAAAAAGAACTGCTTGACACTGAAAAATTTCAGGAAGTACCATGGAAGCTGCACTGAAGCCATTGGCAAAAAATAAGGCTCCAGGAATACATGGGATACCAATTGACTTGTTTCAATTAACAGATGCAGTCTGGAATGCAGTAACTAGTCTGTGCCAGGAAATTTGGAGGGCAGCTGTCTGACCAACAGATGAGAAGATGTCTATTTGTTTCCATTCCCAAGAAAGGTGATCCAACAGAATGTGGAAACCATAGAACAATATCAATACCACATAGAAGCAAAATATTGCTAATGAAATAGCTTGTACAGAGTATGTCATGGTTAGTTCCTCTTATGGGTGAGTATGAAATGGGTAGCATGATCCATAGTGAAAGTGCACTGCTAACATAAAGGCTAAGTCTCCAGTAGTTTGTACCAACATCTTCTAAGGAGACCTTTGTTACCATTTACAGCCTTTGGAAAGTCAAAGCAGGATTCCTGTGAGCCAGAACTGGTGACATCAGTGAATTTAAGGTTTATAGGTTTGCGGGTTTTTTGTTTGGGTTTTTAAAAATACATTTACATCTCTGATAGTCTACCTAAATCTGTCTGAGTTCAAAACTCTGGGTTTTGGCCGTGGTTAGATTTCCTTAATAATATGTCTAAATATTTGCTGGGTGTTATGTGCAAGATACTGTCTTGGTGCCAGGAATAGACCAATGCAAGTAAAGACTAGGTTATAACTATTGAGGAGCTTGCATTCAAGTAGCAAGAGGCAGACAATGGATTACAAGAAAATGAAGTCTAGGAAATAGGTGATGAGGTTATCAGGGAAGAGCCCCAGAGGTAACAACTGAGCTTACACTGGAGTGAGAAGCCAAATATAGTTGAAGAATGTTCTAGGCATAGAGGAGAGCAAATTTTCTAAGACTGGATTGGGCACGAGCTCATAAGAACAAGGAAATTAATAAAGCCAC